TATATATATATATATATATATATATATATATATATATATATATATATATATATATATATATATATATATATATATAGCGACATAAAGCAGTACATTGGGTAATAATGGTTGAGCAGTAATTTACCATTTATTATCACAGTAACTGTCTTTAATGGGTACATAAAGTAAATTACTGTAATTTATTCTTTGCACTACAAAATTTCATACAAATCCTGCTCCTTTTACAGTAAAATACTGTTTCCTTTTAATACAGCAAAACACTGGCTATTTTACAGTTATTTACTGCATAATCTACAGTAAGGGTTAACAGTGTAGGCACAAAAATATATACCTTTTTGAAAAGATACCACCCCCGTGACAGATTTTGTACCTTTATTTATGAGGTTTGCTTACTTTATTTTGATGGTCCGTTTGTGAATTTACATTTGAAGTTTCATTGCATTTACATGCCAACTAATGCTCATTAGATTATAAGACTGTTAGGTTGGGGTTAGGGTAAGTTGACATGTAATTGCAAAGTTTCTTATCAGTATTAACAGACATTAAACAGACAGTCTACTAATACTCAATTGGATTATCAAAATAAAGTGTTACTGGATTTTTTCTCCAGTCATTTTAATAACCATTTATATGGTTGCAATTCAAATACTTTAGTCTTTGCTATATATGTATATATTTATACAATAATTAAGAATTATTGCATAAATGTACAGTGTATTACAAATATATAATCGATCTATTTGCAATTCACTTAAATATTCTGTGATACTGTATACGAACGTACAGTTGAAGTCAGAATTATTAGCCACCCTGAATTATTAGTCACCCTGTTTATTTCTTTTCCTCAATTTCTGTTTAACAGAAAGTTTTAACCTTTTTTTCAACACATTTCTAAACATAATAGTTTTAATAACTCATCACTAATAACTGATTTCTTTTATCTTTGCCATGATGACAGTAAATAATATTTTACTAGATATTTTTCAAGACACTTCTATACAGCTCAAAATGACATTTAAAGGCTTAACTAGGTTAGTTAGTTTAACTAGGCAGGTTAGGGTAATTAGGCAAGTTATTTTATAATGATGGTTTGTTCTGTAGACTATCAAGAAAAAAAAAATAGCTTAAAGGGACTAATAATTTTGTCCTTAAAATGGTTCTTAAAAAATTTAAATCTTCTTTTATTCTAGCCGAAATAAAACAAATAAGACTTTCTCCAGAAGAAAAAATATTATAAGACATACTGTGAAAATTTTCTTGCTCTGTTAAACGTAATTTGGGAAATATTTAAAAAAGAAAAAAGTTTAAGGGGGGCTAATAATTCTGACTTCAACTCTATATATTCATGCCAAAATAAATAATTATTTTAATGGACCAGTAATAAATGGCTTTATATCTTTGCTGTTATCTAATATATTATAGTAATATTTTTGTTTAACTCTGTTTTATTTATACATATCAGTCAGAGAGTTACAGTATTAAATACAAAGAATCACAAGACATCAACTGTTTCAGTCTATCAGCAGAAAACAATTAGATAACAATTTCTTTCTCTCTGATTTAAACAATACAATTATATATTCTTGCATCAAGAACAATATAAAAAATGATTTAAATTTTGTGCCATGGTGTGTTATCCTGCTGGAAGTTTCAATCAAAAGATGGGTTCACTGTGGTCATGAAGGGACGAAGATGGAGAGCCAGCAAACACTCAGGAACCCTGTGGTGTTTAAACAAAGCTCAGTTGGTAATAAGGGGCCCAAAGTTGTACCCAAGATACAAAAATAAACCCAAACCACCACTATAGCTGCCTGAACTAGAAGGCAGGATAAGAGTAGTTTAATGTCAATTATTTGTAACTACTCTTTAATAATTTGAAAACCGGGAGAATAGCTGCTTTTGCTGTAATGGTACACTGAAGTCATAATGTTCAGTACATACTTCGGTTTTGGCATCGCAGGAATAAGCAACAGTGTTTGCGTTTATCTGTTTATATTATATTTATATCAGGCAGAAGTGTTTTATCACAATCAGCTACAGAACTGCACAGCTTCTTGTTATGCAAAAGAGCAAAATAAAGACAACCATGTAAAATAAATCTTCATAATTAGGACACTGTGTAAAAAACTTTGAAAGGTCAAGCTCAGGCCTCTCCTAAAACAACAGAAAAACTATAATTGTGTATTAAACTTAATATTCAGCAATCTTTAACACTGGAATCTCTTTTAATGAACATGCAGCAGTGTGTCCATCCATAACAGCAGGTGAAGAGGACAACATTTATTCAGTGTATATGTGAAAAGGACACAGAATGAGTAACTTGCACAAAAGATGAGACAGAATCTTAATATTTCTATTGTTTTTCTGTTTTCTATGGATATCCATGACCATTATTTACTTGTGTCTTCTGCAGTACATCGCACATGAGCGCCATGTTTTTTTTTAGATGGCGGCGAGTCAAGTTAAACAGTTTCAACTTTTACATGCAGCGGCGCTGTCAGTTCTAGAGCAGCGGACCAGTCAGAAGAACTCGGAAGTGGGACTATGATTGTGAGCTATTTACTATTGGAAGATGCCAACGGCAACATGACTGAACTATTTCTGGGTTGCCGCATCTCACTTTTTGACGATGCAACGATGCATTTTTTTGCGAATGGCTGCTAATTGTTGCACTGCTGGTGTCTTTCAGCCTAAAGGTTTTTGCACTCTGAATCCTTTGAAACTTTCATTCGTCATTAAAAAAAATGAACCGGGTTAAATTTGTTCTGTTTTTCGCATTCGAAAAAGTGATTTAAGAGTCGTTTTGAAAGGTCAGAGCCACAAGTGAAATGAAAAATACAAAACCACAGATAACTTTACAGGGCCGGAGTGGGACTCCTTTTCAGCCCTGGAGTTTCAAGCCTCAGACCGGCCCACCTGAGTTCACGACTGACTATTAAAATAAGGTCATTTCCAAATCAGTTTCTAATGACACAATTACGTCTTTTTCAAGAAAACAGCTGCTTTAGAACTTCAAATGTTCAAAAGTATTAAATGTCTTAACAATAAAAATGAAAAAATAAATAAACAAATAAATTACTCAGATGAGGTTTGTCCCCGGGTCGGCGATGTCGTAACGCAACGTGCTGACCACTGCACCGTAACAGCGTTTCTCATTGTAGTGACTCATCTGAGTTATATCATCATTAACCTGCAGGCTGTAACTTGCTCAGGAGGCTGCGAGAAAATAGATAAAAGGAGCGGAGCTGCGGTAAAATAATGAATTAAAAAAGTGAGGCTGTGGTCAAATAAATAAATAAATGAAAAAAGTGCGACTGCTGGGAGCAACAGAGTCTGGAACAAGGGACACCGGCCCTCCCGGCCAACAAATTAACCGGGAATCCTCCTGGTCCTCCCGATTAGCCAATCCGGGCCTGTAACTTTATGACAAACACAGTGCAGAAAATAAAGACAGAATGTGGTTGAGAACTCCTATATGCTGAATTCAGTGACTGGCGCATCTCTGCCCTGCTGCTGCTTGGAGTGTTTGTGTGTTTATAGATTTGATGTACTACCTATAGACCAGGGGTGTCAAACGGACGGCCCGCAGACCAGATCAGGCCCTCAAACGAATTTAATGCGGCCCACGAGATGATTCTGTGAGCTGCAATTTTTCAATAAAATATATTGCTGTTCCAATTGTGTCCACTGGATGGCGCAATAACAAACTCAGGCGGCCGCGTTGACGTGTCAAAGCAACAGCCCGAAAGCGGACCATGCTTTCTATTATAATGTGTATGGCAGGGGTGTCAAGCTCATTTTAGCTCTTGGCCACATGGAGTAAAATCTGTTCTCAAGTGGGCCGGACTGGTTAAAGCAATGGGGGAAGGGGGGTTGTTGCGCTACATATTTGAAGAGGGGGGTAGGGGTGTGGTTGGGTACCACACCTTCTTTTTCAAATGGTACATTTTTATACGACTGAACTCGTACGAAACAGCCACTAAACTGACAAAACGTAAAGCAGTTTTCTCATGAGATCACCTCAGTGTACAGGGCTTCCCACAGCAGATCGTCTTGACCATGAGTTGCTGCTGTAGTGATAATAGGATTGATCAAATATTAAAATCAATATTTTGGCATTGATATTAATATTGATATTTTAGTCTCCCGTAGGGGACCAAATAATGTAGAAATAACAGATAACTAACTCCTTTTAAACAGGGCACCAGACAGCTTTGACTGTGTTGTGGCATGTAGCCTTTGGGTGACAATGTCTGTGATTCACTACACTGCCATGTGATTAGAATCCTGCGTTAACGAGCAGTTGGAAAGGTGTACCTAATAAAGTAGCCGGTGAGTGTATATACAAGTTAGGAATTACATATTTGTAATGCCAATGGTTGGAATAAATACAGATAAGTTACATAAATATGAAATCCAAATATGAACTTGCAGGTCATTATTTGCATATATTTCCATGCATCCAGTTCCTTAATGGGCAACTATTCCTAACTCATCATTCTCTCTGTCCCTTTGCAGGAAAGAAGTCCATCCGGATCAAACGAAACAGCACTGGCAGCGTCGGCCCGAGGACATTCAAAGGAAGCCTGATTAACATCTCGTTTTCTTTGGACAAAATAGCAGAGATGCAAACACCACCTCCCTCCAATGCTGTTGTGTTAAACAGCAACAACACTGCAGTTTATCTTCGAGGTCCTATAAGCATCTGGTTCATCCCTGCCATCTACATAATATCCCTGGTTGTCGGCATTCCTGCTAATATCGCCATTTTGCTCACCGTTGGAACTAAAGTGAGGGTCATATCATCTGCCATTTTATATTGTAGCCTGGCGGTGTCTGACCTGCTGCTATTGTTCAGTCTCTTCCTCAAGACGCACTATCATCTCAACGGAAACAATTGGATATTCGGTGAAACTGCTTGTCGCGTTACAACCGCTTTCTTCTATGGGAATCTTTACTGCTCTGCTTTTACTCTAGCCTGTATTAGCATTAAGCGCTACATAGCTGTGGTTCATCCGTTCTTCTATAAAAGTCTGCCGAAGCGTTCATTCAGCGCTTGGGGCGGCTTGATCGTTTGGATCGTTTTTATCGTCGCACTTTTGCCTGAATGTTTAGTAAAACAAAGCTACTACATCATGCATCTGGGAATAACAACATGCCATGACGTCCTCCCTGATACTATTGACTACCGGTGGCTTGAGTATTATAATTTAGGCTTGACATGCGTTGGTTTTTTTGGGCCCCTAGTGGTGACAATAGGGTGTTACGCCTCTATCGTCTGGCACCTGAATCGCTCGCACAGAGACTGGGCTCTTTACATTAGAGCGAGCTCGTTGAACTTTGTTATTTTTGTTGTGTGCTTCGGCCCGAGCAGCTGCTTTCACTTCGTGCATTACTTTCTGCTGTCTTTGGAAATTACGGAGAGTTTCTATATGTACTTCAGCGTGGCTGTGTGCTTGTGTTGTCTGCATAGTGCCCTGGATCCGTTTCTGTTCATGGTCATGTCCAGGACAGTCGGAACGAAGCGGTATTTCCTTACACGCAAGGGACCCGCGCTTAGTATCTCTACGTAAAGTCAACATGAAATTTGTGAGGAGTCATGCAAAACACTTAACTCTTGTATGTTGTATAATGCGAACTGCTTGAAACAGTCGATATTGAACTCGTTTTAAAGTCAGCGTGAACAGGAAGATCTTGAGACTTCAGTTTGTTGATGTACTTCTAACTGAAACTGAATTTTCGGTAGGGGCGGGGCTTTCTTTTGCGCATAATTCCCTCATAGCAAACTAACGGTAAGAGGGGCGTGGCTAAGAGTATTGTAGCAGTCAAACTGATGTCAACAGAGTAGGACCGTTGCTCCAAATGCAGAAGCAAATGGTCAGAACTTGATTGAAAATGACCAAAACAAACTTTTTTGATGAATTAACTTGCACTTATTAATTGTTCACCTAAAGAATAACAATGAATAGCAAAATAGACATGGTAAATTTAGTAAATTCAGTAAATTTCACATGAAAAAAAGACTATAAGCACTTACATTTTTGTTCTAAAGATTTATTTTGAAGGAAATTAGTGATATTAGGAATGCACCTTAATGGAAATTCTAGGTTGAAACTAAAAATACTAGATGCACGAGGCCAAACATCGAATCCGAAATACATTAATTTATTATTTTATTACATAATCTACAGTAAATCTTTTCGAATTAACCTCAAAAACTTCAATTATACACTGTAATATGAACTGTGTTTTATTGTTGGACAGTTATGCAGTATGTTATTGTATTTAAAAGTTGCATTGTGAAAATTACTTACAATACAATACTGTAAATAAATATAGAGAAATCAGATAAATGATTGCTTTAAAGGTAAATACAGTATTCTTGCTGATTTACAGTAAGTTTTGTGGAACTTCTTACAGTAAGTTACTATAAATTCTACCGTCTGCTTTATTACAAAAATACAAGCTAATTAAATAACCACATTTTAATGGCAGTAAAATTTTATTCACAGTGGACAAGTCCAAAAGCGTGACAGCACAGTAGCAATTGCAAGCAGCAGTAAAAAGTATACCACATAGAAATGCATTATTTGAGCGTTCCTTAAATGTGTTATTTGAGCGTACTTTGCTTTTTTGGTGAGCATGTGCGATTCATGCATATATGCACATGAGCCGAGAATCCCCAAAGCAGAATATTTAGCTAATATGAACCGGCTGACTACATGCAAACTAGCTGACAGTGTGGTTTGGTTGATGCAGCAACAAACTGCCCTTGTGTATTGTGAGCCATTGAAATGAATGGGTTTCATAGCGCAGCATTTCCTGCGTCTGGTGTGAAAGCTGCTTCACTACAGGCAATGACTACAACCTTTTTCGGCTTATATTTTTGGGAATTTCTTTTTTTGGACAAAAACCAAAAATGCCATTTTTGCCAATACTAATATGAACCGGCTGACTACATGCAAACTAGCTGACAGTGTGGTTTGGTTGATGCAGCAACAAACTGCCCTTGGGTATTGTGAGCCATTGAAATGAATGGGTTTCATAGCGCAGCATTTCCTGCGTCTGGTGTGAAAGCTGCTTCACTACAGGCAATGACTACAACCTTTTTCGGCTTATATTTTTGGGAATTTCTTTTTTTGGACAAAAACCAAAAATGCCATTTTTGCCAATACTTTTGGTGGCTGCCAGTGCTTTTATTCATCAAAGACAAATCAAAATCATCGTGAAGACATTTAAGAATATAACAATTTAAAAAAAATAATAAATTCTGGTCTTTTGAACCAGAATGGTAATCTATGTAACAAATCAGCTCAAGGTTAATCTTCTTGCGCGTTCTCCGCCATGATAATGTAGCAAGGTATAATCTAGATTACAGTGCTCGTGTATCTTCTGCATCATTATATGTAGCGGATTAGCTTAACGGGAAGAAGATTCATTTGAACGGGGCTTCAAACGAATCCACACTTTAAATCCAAAAACAAACGAGTCATCCAGCGATCGTTCGAGTGGACAGTCGAGTTTATTATGGCTATTGCTATCAAAATAAAAACCCATTTTTGTTTAAGCAGGGTTTAAGCAGTTATGTTTAAGACATTAAATTCATAAATATGCACAGGCACCTTTCTTTATACAAATTTAAACTTTATTGACTAATCTAACAGAAACTTACACCTAACACAAACACACATTCATACAAGTGTAGAGAAGAGTAAAGAGGCTGAGAGTGGGGGTGGAGTCGGTCGTTTCAAGTTTGAAGTGGCAACGGCCAGACGTGATGGCACTAAACTTAACTAGACTCTTGATGGAAAATAAAGAAAAGAAGGTATCATGGGTGTGAATGTCTGAGCTATGCGATTAACCAATTTTATCTAGGTCCTCATCTGCTCCCTGGAGTCCTCTGGGTTCAAGCCTTTCTCTGGCCCGAGGTTTCTGGGTCTCTGCTTTCTTGGAGGTTTCTCTGCTTAGGTCTCTTTCTTAGGGCATTGCTATGACTTGAAGAGAGTGTAACTTTAGAAACTAGAACCTAAAGTTCATTGATAAATTTTGATGTTGGCTTGAGAAAGCCAACGTGACTGCGCTAGGACTGGGAATGGCAGTTGGCAGAAAGCACGGCGGCGGTTGCTAAGTGGTTGCTAGGCAGTTGCTAAAACAATTATGGCATTGTTAGGTAGTTGCTACGCAGTTGCTAAATGGCAATGCTCGTGTACATGTTTGATCAAATGCTAATACTTAGTAGGCATTTCTAGCATATGTTATTGCATTTAGATAATCATTCATAGCATGTAGCTAATCGTTATTAGCACCTGGCTTCCATTATCATTGTTACCATGCATAGAAAACAGGAAGTCCCATTTGCTAGCATGAGTTAAACAAGCCAATGCCCAGGTCCATACAATATTCTGATGTAGAGATATTACTATTTTTAAATGGTTGTATTTTTTTGAAAATACAATGCTTAATAAGTGTGAAAGTGATACATGCAAAAATGGCTTGCCATATCAGTAAAAAATATAGAGTTTAAGTCAAAAATGGCTTGCCATATTTTGAGAAAAATAATGCTTAAAAATTATTTATTAAAAAACTAAAAGTCTGATAAACCTTAAAGATATATCAACAAAATCTAACGCTTCTAAATACAGCTTTTGGCCAAATTTGGGGCTTGTATAATTTTTTATATGCTCGGATTATAAAAAATTTATATTTAACATTTTTTATTAAAAAAACAATAAGTCTTATAGGCATGAGGAGATATAACAACAATCTTGAATGTAGAAGGCACATTTTGACCACATTTGAGCCTTGTGGCATGAACGGCCTAGGAGGAGATACGTTTGTTTTCAAGGAAAGAGTAGTATAACAGTATGTTGGCTTTCTCAAGCCAACATAAATAACAGTATGTTGGCTTTCTTAGAATCAGAAACTAACTTCCCTGAGACGTGGTTTATGACTCTTTGTGTGAAGTAGAGGAATTTGCATTGGCAAATTTAATGCAAACTGATGCAAAAATGTTTAAGTCTCTTTATGAGCCTGTTTAGCTTCGGTAGAGTTAAATATTGTATGCAGAAGTATTAAAACCATAATATTAATACAGGAGTAGGGGAAACGTTGCCAACCACATGATTACGCATAAAGAGAGAAGTTTACATTAAAACATCAGGCCTAAGCAAAATAGAAGTTATAGTAGTGCTGGCCAGGTCTTTGTTTGGTGCTGTGGGCACATTCCTTTGGGTCATAAATACCTTGGAATCAGATTACAACTGACCATCGAGTCTTCCCTGGGCAAAAATTGGCTCATTTGTTGAATAAAAGCAAAATAATTATGGGTCTGGTAGGCCATATTCATTACATCTATTATGAGTTTTTAGCCGAATCCAGCACTGAACTGGGAGAGATTCTGGAGCTTTCCTTTGTCAAATGTTAGCTGTATATTTTTTAGAAATCTCTGGAACATATTTAAAGTTAAACTGTAAGCACTTTTCTCTGTGTTGTGTCTTTTGGAAGCCCAAATACAGAAACAGAAGAAGCTCTGTGGAAATAGCAGCATTTGGACGCCATTTTAGCTTTCTCTGCTGTAACATTACAGCGCCTCTGGCCACGCCCCTTTGCTGTGCAGGGTGTGTGCGCGAGGTGAATGCTCATAACCTAAAGCGTTTGTGATCTCACTAGCCCGGATGCACTTTGTAGTCCCCAAACTTTGTTCGCTGTAGGTTTTGCTTGGCTAAAATCTGTAAAAGCCAATTGTTCCATTTGCATTGAACTTTGAGCGTATTACATTCAGAGATGTTGTTTATGTTCACACAGCTACATTACACATTAACTAAAGTTTACAATATGATTTCATAGTGCAGTGGTTCTCAAAGTGGGGGTCGGGAGCCCCCGAGGGGTTGTGGGACAAAGAAGGGGGGGGTCGCCTGGTGATTTCCAAAAATCTATTTATTTTTATTAAACCATAAGAATTACCATATTTTATCCATAACCAACTGAAAAGAAAACAATAGTTGTTTATAGTTACTATATGCTACTGTATAAAGTTACTATAGTAGCTTATAGTTATTAGATCTATTGGATTGCGACCCCTACGGTAATTACATTATATTGAAGACACAGCAATAGCGCCAGATGCAGCAGATTGATTTTATAACACCAGGTTAAACTTTCTGGCACATTTACAGCACTGACATACATTAAACAAATTCAACGAAGAATAGACTTGGGTCCATTGGTGTGTGTGTGCACTATTATGCAAGGTATAACCACCTCAGAAGATATTGAAGGTTGGAAGTAGCATTGTTATTTTGGGGATCGCGAGCTGAAAAATTTTAGAACCCCTGTCGTAGTGGACCACCCCTTTAAAATAAGTGCAACAAGATGATGAAAAAAGTTGCCTTTATTTGACAATATGATGATTTCATGTTCACTGTATGAACAAAAAAACTAATCTAGAATGTTTTTTCCGGTTTGATCTTGTAGAACCTAGTAGTTCTCCTAGATTTAAAGATTTTAATATGTGAAGTGCCTCGAGGAGAACTAATAGTCTGTAGTTTCAGCCAAATGGCTTGAATTGGTTTGGACAGAAGCAGCACCTTTTATACTGAAGACAAACGGAGAGACATTTGAATGCCCTGAGAAAAAAAGGACATAATATACTGCCTGGACTGTATTCTCTCTCTCTGTGTGTGTTTGTGTGTGTGTGTGTGTGTGTATTTTGAATGTTACATAAAGCCTTGTTGACCAAGGCAGAGTTTGTCTGCATATGTTATAAAATTTAATTTGTATAGAGAATCTTTTACCTCCTATATTTAAACCTCATTTGATTTCTCAGCACATCATTAAAACAAATAAACAAAAGTCTCATTTTCTGATCATTTTTGGATTTGCATTTCTCTCCCCGCCTCCCCTCCCCCTCCAGTGTCTTTTACTTTGTGATGCATTGAGGAACAACAACATGCAGGATGGATTGGGCTGAATTTGGACGCTGTTTCTGGCTTGAGGACAAAAGTGCCAGTGGGTTGTAACTAACTAGCAACTAATTCTCTGTCTCTGGGTCTCATGCAGACATCCACATATACAGGACAAACAGAACTAAAACTGATACTAAAAAAAAAAGAACAATTGATGAACGAACAGGAAAGCTGATCTCTCTACATGTTGGAAAGTGTCAATTATAATATATTATAATATATTACAGTATTAACATTTTTATATCTGTATTAAAATGGCACAGTGGCTCAGTAGTCGCTTCACAGCAAAAGGGTTGCTAGTTTGAGTCCCAGCAGGGCCAGTTGTTATTTCTGTGTTGAGTTTGCATGTTCTCCTTGTGTTGTGTGGGTTTCCTCCGGGTGCTTTGGTTTCCCCCACAATCCAAAGACAAAAAAAAAAAAAAAAATGTATTCTCTATTTTTGTCTCTGATGTTATTTTATTGTATCTTTTTTGTGTTATTATGACTTGTCCTCCTGTTGTCATAACTAATACTCTATTGACATCTGTGCTCAGAAATGGACCAGGAATGAGCAGTCAGTGCTTGAGGGCAAATGCAAATGTATTTACTGGCAGGCTTGATATTTATAAACTCATGCATCTCACTATGACAACTTCATGGTTTCATATCCGCAATATTCTTCCTGGAATATGAGGGGAGAAAACAGGTGAAGTGGCTGTGTTTGTGTTATTGTCATGTAAATGCACAGGAATCAACTTTATTAAATATCAAGCCGAAATCTATTTAAACCTGTAGAAAATTTTCACCTAAGCATATTTGTGTTGTAAAGTCTGTTAGGTTTTCTAGAGAGCTGACAAAAAACGCAGTTCAAAAGTGTGATCAATTTACATTTTGGTTAATTGGTTACCTTTAAAATCACTAAAACGGATTACAGTGGGTCATTGGGTGTCCAGGTGTTTGATCAGAGCAAGTACACTACCTGAGAAAAGTCAGGTATCAAATATCCTGAGGTATTAAGACATTTGTGCTGCCCATTACATTACAAACCACACGAGAGGGCAAATTCTTCAGCAGGATAGCGCTCCTTCTCATACTTCAGCCTCCACATCAAAGCTCCTGAAAGCATAGAAGGTCAAGGTCCTTCAGGATTGGCCAGCCCAGTCACCATATATGAACATTATTGAGCATGTCTGGCATAAGATCTTGATGAACTCTGGGAGTCCTGCAGGAACGCTTTCTTTGCCATTCCGGATGACTTTATTAATCAGTGATTTGAGTCAATGCAGAGATGTATGGATGCAGTCCTCCAAGCTCATGATGGAGTCAGAAACAATATTCATTCTTTCTCCACTGCAGCATGACTTTAAATTCTATACTGGACATTATTTCTGTTCAGTGAAAAGACTTTTGTCTAAGCAAAGTCAGACCTTACTGTCCTTATTAAATAATTAAAAATCAAGGCATGATCATATTTTATTTTGGTTAAATAAGCGTAGAGGCCTTTGCCTTTCATATAAGCCACTTCTGATACCAAATGATCTACTAGAAGTCAAGTTATTATTAGTTGTTCCTAAAACTTTGATAGGTGACAAGACTTTTGTCAGGTATTGTATTTTACCCATTATTTGGGATTTTGGGGTTTTATAAAAGAATGTCACAGAAGTTTCTAGCAATATATACACTTTCTGTATTTTGAAAGCACATGCAGATTAATACAAAAATTAATAATAATGTATAAATCTGGTGGTTCATTCCACTGTGGCGATCCCTGATTAATAAAGGAACTAAGCCGAAAAGCAAATGAATGAATGACTGAATGAATAAATCAAATCCTACAGGGGGCGCTGTTTACATAACTTTTTATTAGTTCTTGAACATTAGTTTTTAGAACATTCTAAAAAAAAGGAAACGTAATAAATAACAATCTCAAGATTAGGGTCAAGCAATAAATAATTAATAAACCATCTTGATATTAAAAGTCATTATAATGCGAAATTTAATTAGGTAATTTTTAAGAAAATAAGTTGTTATAAAATGTTGAGAAAAAATAAACACTTTACCAAAGAGTTTCAAGATAAGTCTCACCTTTCGAGAGCTGTCTTTTATAGTTACATTAAATCCAAACGTTAACCGTTTGAGAAAAAAATACACATAAAATGTTGAGAACTCATTAAAAAGTTTATTCTTCAAGAAAAAGTTACATTTCAGGAAAAGGTAAATACACACAATGTTTATAGTAAAGTTATTAATTTTTGAGAATAAAGTTGTTATGATTTGAAAAAAACAACCCGTTAAATTTAGTGAAAAAGTTTTTTCGAAACAACAACTTTATTCCAGTAATTTAATGAATTTATTATTTATTGTTATTTAAATGATATTATTTTTTCAATAAAATGACTTTAACACTGAGGTGGTTTTCTTTTTAATTTGTATTTTTATTATATACAGTATATATTTATTATTAACGATTTGCTCTGATCCTCTTCTGTAGTTTATTTACTTAAGCATTGGTCCTAATTAATAATTTACATTTTACGTTTTTCAATTTTCATATGCACTACTTGTCTATTCTTCTATTTGTTTAGTTTAATGTTATGTTTTGCAATTAAATTTTAATTTAGCTTGTTAATATGTTATTTTTGCTAATTAATATATTTCAATATTGACAATATTGAAGCTGTTATCACATGCAATAATTCACTTTGATGAGTACATCAAGTTAAACAAAAAAAAATCCAATTGAATTGCAAAACAAAACATTAATGATCTACTAACTAATGTACAACACAACGGGCTCTTATTTTGAATTATTTAGAAAAGCTTTTGTTTTGAAAGCTCGCCCTATGGCGGGTGTTTTGAACGTTCTCCTGTAGTTTCTAGCTTCCCTCGACATGTGATCGGTAAAGTCCAGAAGGGATACAGCTGTGGACACTAGCGTCAAAATAGCATCAACTTAATAACAATGTTCACGAATAATTAATATTTTTACATTATTGTGACGGTTTTGTTTAGGGTTGGGGTGTGGATAGCCAGTCATAAAATACAATTTAACGGGTAATTTAATAAATAATATGAATAATATTCGAGATAATTACTCTTTTAACATTACTGTAATGGTTGGTTTTAAGGTTGGGGTAGAAGTAGACGTTAATAAAATACAATTAATGTATAATTTAATAAATATTATATACAACTCTCGTTAACTTCAGTCTGCAGCTGTATCTCTTCTAGCAACAGCTGAGGCGCGTGTATGACGTTAGCAGCTCATTCGCGGTTTGTTTGGCGTTCGTGCTTACGGTCAACCGTCAGCCACGTTTTTCACAAACACGTGCGTTATCGACTATTATTTCCAAAATTTATTTATATTAGAGACTTATATTCAACATATTACTATCTTAAAGTGACAATGTGGTATTAAATGGATTCCGTCGGACTGCGTGTGCTCGCCGGTTTTCGCGTGAACATGCCCGGGCTTGTCTAGTCTTCTGGGCCGGTGGATTGAACCAGCGCTCGGACATCATGGACGGCACTTTTCCACATCAGCTTTTTCCACATTTTTATCTGGACGGACCGCCTGATGTAAAGCCGAAACACTGCTATAGTGGCTGGGGAACATATGAGCGAGTGTTTCCTGTCAATGCTGAGCAGGTAAGACAGAGCTGATACGTCATCATCATAATAATAATCATAACAATGACATGACAGAGCCGTACATACACGAATAGACTTTTAATGTGAAGCAGAACATTTAATCAGTTCATTATATTGTTTAAACTTAACATTTACTGGAAAACCAGCAACAATCAAGAATGGATAATTATGGTGTCGTGGCTTTGGAATAAAAATTAATTAAAATGGAAGTCAATGGAGCAAAAACAGCCACGAACATAATGAAAGGGTAGTCAGTTTGCCTATAGTGTATTACATTTTTTTTGTAAAACTCTCAAACCATTAATATATGAATACACTATTTAAAATATATGTGTCAAAGTATGGTCTGTCACCAAACATCATTCCATTTGCTGAAAAGAGAGCGAGTTGTGGCCAAATTAATACTCAAAATCACCCCAGGATGAAAAGATCCCCAACAGCACACAAGGCTAAATTGATTATAAGATTTGTTATTTTATTAAGAAATATAATTTTTTTTATGAGTTTATGCAACTTGATTTATTTTAATTTATTCATTCATTCTTTTTAATCCTGTTTGAAATTATTGTAATCGTTTTTATTTTAGATTAAGTAAGTACACTAAATAAATACTAAAGATATGACAGCCATCTTTATGGTTTATGCACATATTACAATGCAAATATAATTTGAGCACACATTTTAAACGTCGCTGCATGTCTAGAAAAAAAAAAATCAGGGATTTGTAGATCTACAAACAAATCTACAAATCAGGGATTATAACCACAAACTACTTGTGGTTATAATTCCTGATTTGTAGATTTTTTTTGGTCATAATTTTCTATGATAAAGTTATGAGGCATGTACAAGTAAATTGAGATTTGAAAAAATAAAGAAATATAAAATTAATATAAAAAATGCTAGAATATTCATAAATTTTCCTTTTTTATATTTTATTTATTTTTAATATTATGTGTGTTTATTAGTAATTACAAAGAATCTATACATAAGTAATGCATGCATTAATTGCATGTGTGATAACACTTGTAATAGTGTTAATATTGTAATATATTCATTATTAAAAAATGCATTAACAAACTTAAAATTTACTGGAAAGCCAGCAACAATCAAGAATGGATAATTATGGTGTCGTGGCTTTGGAATAACAATTTATTAAAATGGAAGTCAATGGAGATAAAACAGCCACGAACATAAAGAAAGGGTAGTCAGTTTGCCTATAGTGTATTACATTTTTTGTAAATCTCTCAAACCATTAATATATTAAACTATTCAAAATATGTGTCAAAATATGGTCTGTCAACAAACATCATTCCATTTGCTGAAAGAGAGCGAGTTGTGGCCAAATTAATACTCAAAATTACCCCAGTATGAAAAGATCCCCAACAGCACACAAGGTTAAATTGATTATAAGAAGTGTTTATTTTATTAAAAAATATGTTTTTTTTTTAAATGAATTTATGCAACATGATTTATTTTTTTGCTATTCTTTCTTTCTTGTTTGTCCTGTCTAAATATTGTGTGAAATTATTTTAATCGTTTTTATTTAGGATTAAATAAGTACAGTAAATAAATACTAAAGATATGACAGCCATCTCTATGGTTTATGCACATATTACAATGCAAATATAATTTGAGCACACATTTTAAACGTCTCAGCATTTCTAGAAAAAATCTACAAATCAAGTACTTGTAGATCTCCTAAACAAATCTACAAATCAGAGATTATTACCACAAACTACTTGGGTTTATAATCCCTGATTTGTAGATGTTTTTTGTCATGCATTACGATAAGGTTGTTATGCATGTACAAATTAATTGAGATTTTTAAAAATTGCGTATTCATCTTTTAAGGAAGAATATTAAAAAATACTAGAATATTCATTCATTAATTTAAGCATTTTTCCATTTTTATATTTTATTTAATATTATTTATGTTTATGTTTATTAGTAATTACAAAGGATCTATACATAAATTATGCATGTATAATTGCATGTGTGATAACACTTTATAATAGTGTTAATATTGTAATATATAAATATAAAAATAACGTATTAACAAAATTATAAACTTTATTAGAGAAATTGAAAATAAATTATTTTCATTTATTTATTGTTGTATTGTTCTTGTTTAATTTGACATATTAAAGTTATTTGCATGTTATAACATCTGTAATAGTGTGTTAATATTGTAATGTGTTACATGGCAAAAATAATATATTAACAGCTAAATTAAGAATTAGGCTTAGGACGATAACCATTTTCAATGTATACCGGGGTTTGGCAAAGTCAAAGATTTTATTATTTGCTTTTTTGTTGTTGTTTTTTTGGACAACAATATCTCCTGCAGAAAAGATCTCCAAAGATGCCTTTTTAAATATAAATAAATCAGTGTTTTTGAAGCTAAGGTCAATTATTAATTTGAATTATTTGGTCTGACATTTTTTTTTAACAAAGACATAAAAATGATATATTTTAGAGCAGTAATCACAATACTGTGAAATTGTAATATTTTTTTTATCCAAGGTTATCATACCGTCAGAATCTTATACTGGCCCATGCCTAATTGTGTGTGTTTATTTATTAGTAATTCCAAATGATCTATACATTATTAATGCAAGCATTAACTTATTGTTTTTTATTTCTTTTTAAAGTGTAAGCAAGAACAAAACTTAGTTGGAGAAAATAAATGGTTCTCATTTATTTTTTACTTTATTATTCTTGTGTGATGTGATGACACCTGTAATAGTGTTAATATTGTAAAATGTTTATTAGCAAAAATAATGTGTTAACAAGCTAAATTAAGATTTAATTGGAAAGCATAACATTAAGCTCGTAGACTAGACAAACAATACATATAAAAATGCAAAAACGTAAAGTAATAAATAAAACTAATAGCATAAGTAAATAAACTATGGAAGAAGCTCAGGGCCGATCATTGATAAAAAAAAACTAATTAATTGAAGAAAAAAAAAATTAATTAAAGTTATTCATGTATTATTTTCCTTTATTTACTTTCTTACTGCAATTTTTTTTGTTTTTAACTACTTTTAATCTAGCTCTAGAACCCGTATGGCATAGAAGAAATTCAATAACAATGTGTGTGTGCGTGTATAAATATATATATATAAATCTATTTATAAATCAAACTGATTAGAACTCACGAAATTGTTCAGTCGTTAAAAAAATGTAAAAAAAATATCATTATTGTTTCCACCTACTGATGTCTCACATCAGGGCTTGAAATTGCAACCATTTTGGTCGTATATGCGCCCGAAATTTTATCTATGCGACCTCATAATATATTTGGGAGCATTTGTGCGAGTGCATGAAATTGTTGTGTGCGACCAGTTTTTACTGCAAAATGTTCACCACATGCGCAGATTTGGGAGGCATTCATGCAGAATGCATCTCTGCATGTTAAACGCAGTGCTCAGGAATGGTTTAAAACAGTTGTCATGTCAATTAGCTGCAGTAAACAAAGCCAACTCGTAATGCGTGCCCTGCCTTTGCGCTCTTCTTATTGGCCCACCACTGCTCTAGCACTGAAATATCAGCTGTCAATCACTCAGTCAATGCCTTCTGGCTTTGGATGACAGAGAGAGCTGCTACCGCGAAAAATTGTAAAGCGCTGAAGATGAGAATAAAGATAATACTGACAGATTTTGTTTAAGAAACCATGGCATCTAAAGTTACAAATAATGACACATCTTAGTAGTGATCATGTGCTGAATGTTAATCCACCTTCTACACTTTTTGAAGAGTGGAGAAAAGACTTCCATTGGCTTCAAGTCGGCTATGAAAAGTCTGTGGGATGAAATTTTCAGGTAACTTGGTTGTAGGGCTGTGCAATTAATCGAAAATCCGATTTCGATTTTGGCTTTAAACGATTATGAAAAACCATTAATCGAGAGAAACGATTATTTCATCACGTACCGCCCCCTTTCCAGTTGTACACGTGTGAAAACTCTTTGCCTCTGCAAAGCTCAGTTCCACGTGAAAATGACTAAAAGCATGTGCTGTAATATAACTTTTGCAGCACGGGATGCACATCATTCATGTTTTTAAAAGCGCAAAAGAGCACGTGCTTTTGTGTGTGTGCGCGCGCCGTGCTTAGCCTTGGACAGGTAGCGTGTGTCTGTATTTACGCGCGTGCTGCGCTTAGCCTCGGACAGCAGAGCACACACACATCTAACGCGATCTTAATGTGAGCGCTTTAATGGTCAAGTACATGCACATTTGTGTTAGAGCGCGGTGTTTAGTGATTTTTTATATTAACCCTCATTTGTGTAATAAACTAACAAATTGAGAATCAAAAGAAACGTGAAAGAGAAACCATATCAGAGCCGCACTATTCTTAAAGTGACAGCGTGCGGTATTCCTGCTGCTGCCGACTGTTTTTATTATTATTCAATAATAAAATCAAAAATACAGTGAAGATGCTTAAAGCATAGTTTAAACATAACAGATTTAATAACTCATTTCTAATAACTTATTTATTTTATCTTTGCTATGATGACAGCACATTATATTTTACTAGAATTTTTTCAAGATACTAGTATTCAGCTTAAAGTGACATTCAAAGGCTTAATTAGGGTTAATAGACAAGCCATTGTATAGCAGTAGTTTCTTCTGCAGACAATAAAACATATATATTGCTTAAAGGGGCTAATAATATCGAGCTATTAAAATAGGTTTCAAAATATTCAAACCTGCTTTTATTCTAGCTGAAATAAAACAAATAAGCCTTTTTCCAGAAGAAAAAAAATATTATAGGAAATGCTGTAAAAAAAAAACCCCTCTGTTAAACATCATTTGGGAAATATTCATATATAAAAATAAATTCACAGGAGGACGAATGATTTTAACTTCAACTGATAATCGTTTTGAATAATCGTGATTACAATTATGACCAAAATAATCGTGATTATGATTTTTTCCATAATCGAGCAGCCCTACTTGTTTGCCACATCTAGCAGGAGAGCTTCTGTTTAATCCTTCAAATAATCGCCAGATGCTGTCCGCCGTGCAATTGGGAGCTATATTAAAATGTAACACCACGTACACCATCGCAAATGGGCTTGCACTGAGCAAACTAATATCGCTACTCATGAAGACCGGTATGGCTATTAACATGATGCATGGCTATTAACATGACGTATGGCTATTAACATGACATATGCATATAATAAGGTACAGTACATGTCAAAAGAATCAGTGCAATATCAGACAGCACCCGTGAGAACAGCACAGTTATATCGTTAACAGATTCATTCATGTCAAGCAGTGCGTGCAGGGCCGGTGAGCGCTCCGTGTATCTTTTGATCACTCAGTTCTGTTATAAAAATCTATTTTCTTGTGATAATAGGATTTCGTTGAGACATATTTTCCTCATGCATGCATATTGTGTATATATTTTTTGCTTGTTAGTTTAATTAATGTTGATTTCAAATGCAATAAATATGTTTGAATAAAACTTGTAGTAACGTTGCTTATAATTGGTGGGTGCGACTCAGTTTTGGCTGATGCGTCAACATTTTTTAAGTTAGGAACACCGGTGCTACCAAGCAAAAAGGTTCATATCGAGCCCTGCACATTTATCACATTGCAGTTGTTTATCCGTGTCTTGACTGATGTGTTGTGTGTGTGTGTGTTTTCAGTGTGATGATGAGGGGGCGTTGTATCGGCACAAGTTTGAATCCCAGCACACAGTGAGGGGTGAGGAATGGGTGCAGCTCAAACCAGCCGTCACTCCTTTTACACCACCACATAAAGGTGAACGTCTTTATTTTTTTAAGGGGCTAGGTTTTAGTTTTTGGATGGGCTTGATGCTTCAATTATCAGTTCACATAATGTATCGTGCACTTAAAAAATATTAATAAATAGTAATATAGAGAATGGGAGATTGTTTACTTTCAGTGACACATATTGTAAAGAGAGAGCTTTCTTTATGTAAAATAGAAATCTTTGTTTTGTGGGTGACCTGTGTGTAATGTAATTAACTCACTAATTTATTTAATTTGAATGATCTTTCCAAGATGCCAAAGTCTACTCCACTGATCCGCTGGATCCTCTGGATTTTCCAGAGCAGGTAACTTCATTATTTGGGTCTGTTCATTTTTGTTTAAATGTGACTTTCAATCTTGTAGTGTGGTATTTAACTCACGGGACACTGCTTTACACTGTTCTTTTCAGATGAAGTATTATTATCAGCATCACTGTATGGATGCTTTCTCCACAATGGGACGTTTGCTGGAGGAAAACTTCACTTATAAATCTAATCAATCCAAGGTTCGAGAGTCTGTGTGTGTTTATTGTGGACTGAATTATTGCTGTTTGGTCAAGATTTGATATTGTGTCCTGTTTTTGTTTGTCGAACAGGATGTTATGTCATTACGCTGGTCAAAAGACTTTGTAAAGGGCTTGAATTATAAGAGGTAAGATTGTTTAGTTTGAATCCAGCATTGATCGTTTAATGTTGGATTGTGCTCAGTTTTGCATTTTTAATTTGTAAAATGAGAAGAAAACAATGAAATGTTAAATTTACTGTTTACTTTGACAAGACGATGGAGGTGGATAAAAAGAAAGGAAAAAGGATGAACAAATATTTGTCATTCTACTTCCCCAGTTATATGTTTTGAATTAGAAAATAATACAAGATTTGTACTTGATCTAAAAAAATAATTGATAATCCAAACTCTAAACTCTCTCTGTGGGTCTTCTAGGTGTGAGCTTGGGAAATCTTCCAGGAAGGTCCGTCATATCCACCGTCTCCTCAGTGATATCGTGACGGATGTTCCTCAGCCTCTGCTTTGCTCGCTCCTTCATGAAGAGCTGACCTATCAGAGCGAACAGCAGCAGTTCTCTGCAGATGCTACAGGTGGCGCTTTGGGTTTTTTACCCTTCTATGAGTCTGAGAAGGGGAGCGATGGTTGTCTGATTTATTCCAGTGGAGCCTTAATGGACAAAATCTGTATCCTTTCATGTAGAGCCTCCTAGTGGGTTATTGTAGTCGTTGTGATTAAATTTTCAGGGTTTTCACTGTTCATGGAAAATCAGGGAATGTATTTTCCAGTCATTGACAATCATGAAATTTTTATATATATATATTTTAATCACTTTAGATTTTAGCTTTCATTTATTAATGGTGTGAAAGTGTCACTGTTATGTGCTTGTGTTGTTTGTGACCTGTTCGTGTTTACTTTCTCTCTCTCGCTCTCTCGCTTTGTCCTTCCGTATCTGCTTCATTTTCTCGGGTTCCGTTTATTCGGGATCCAGTGACTTTCATGTTTAATGTTTCAGATCATTAAACTATTTTAAATATTAGTCAAAGATAATAAGTAAACACATCATGCATTTTTTACATGAAGGTTTTTATTATTATTATTTTGGGAAAACAAAATCCAAAACTACATAGCACTCAATCATAAAAACCTTCATTTCAAAACTGCATGATTATTTTTATTCATTTCGCAGTAAATTAGGACATATATTTTTGTGTATTTGAGCTAAGCAGATTTATCAAACAGATATATTTATTAAAATAATATTTTAGCGCCAATAGCCTAGTGATAAAGTTCTATTCCCGGCTTTAGGTCTCATCTCTACTGTCCTCTATTAATAAAGGTGAAAAACCCCTAAGATATATATATATATATATATATATATATCAAATAATAATAATACTTTAGTCACAGAATATCTTTATAAATAGAAAGATAGATAAAATTTAAATGTATTATCTTTTTTTCTCTTATTTTGCTCTTTTTACACTTTTATTTAATATTTTTTCCTAACTTAAATTTAGGTGTACTAATTTTGGACAATTATTATCATGTGATTTGGCTTCAGTACTGACTAATCTAATGTTAATGCAGACATATAATATTGTAAAGATTCCTGAAGAAAATATTAATTTAAATGAGTGATTTGTAAGGAGTGTACTCGTGTATGTTGTGCACTATATAATATAACATTTTTATATATATTTAATATATTTATATGTATTATTATATATTTTTGTTTATTATCTTAAATAAAGCACTATATTTTAAGTAAAGTCTCAAGGTGCTACAGAAATATATGCTTTGTCAGGCTGTTTTAAACTGCTGAAACAAACTCAATACTAACACTTTTTTTTTCTAAATTTGGTTTAAAATGATGTAATTTCAGGTTTGTTTAGATTCTGTTTGAAGTATACCAGTGCTTAAACTTATTCTGTAAAAATGTATTGGCTTTTCCTTCACTGCCGTTCCTCAGGCTTCCACAGGGTGGCGCAGGAGTATAAGGATGATGGGACTCCGACTTTTAATATGGGCTCTGAACCAGTTGTCTTTAATCTGAATGCAGCGGCCAGACAAATCAGTTGTGGAAACTATGAGAATTCAGGTGAGGACAGATAAATCATGTTTTTGAAGAGTCAGTCATTACACGATATTAGTCAATAATACTGAAACGTAACTATAAACTTATGAAACTAAAACATTTAACGCAGTAGTAGACTAATCAATCTGAATTTCACAGGCGCCTTAACATTTCCAAAACTAAATTTTAGGCCTTGAAAAGTCTTATATTTATTGAAATATTGAGTTGTAGGTTAAATTATTTAAGACTTTTTGCCTTGAGTTTAGTTCATTTTTTAGTCATTTAATTTTGATGTAAAAGAAGTGCATGTTTTCAACTGGAGTTTGCTTGTTTTGACACATTATTTAAATATTATTAGAAATAACTACCTTTTTTGAGGCAAGTAATTATCTTTTACATTGACCTAGCCGGGAAATTACAAAAAATATGGAACAATTATGCCCTGTATAAGTCTATTTTGTTTATAATGGACTTAAAATATTCTTAAAAAGTCTTAAATCTGACTTGATGAGACCTGCAGAAACACTGATTTCTTAATATCTTTTATGCAGTTCATGTGGCTGTGCGGTCGGATTATTTCTGTGGCGCTTGGTTTGTCTTTGACAAACTAAAGCCCAGTTTGGTGGACGTCATCCAGACAAAACAGCGCTTCTCCTGCGTCACCGTCAGGTGTGTTTTAAACCTCTTACAATAATGTGTGCTTCACAAAACACATCCCGATGGACACTCTTTAGGGGATAATTCACCACAAAATGAAAATTCATTTGCTAGTTCGCTTGAGTGTGTGCAGCATCGCAGAGTTGGCGGAGGTTCACTTTGGGTGCGTGCGACATGATTTCGGCTGGTGGAACGCACAACATTTTTTTAAACTTGAGCGAACAGTTCTCGTAGTAGTACAGTACTACGAGTAGAACAGTTGTAGAACAGTAGTGAAAGTGTGTATGAACACTGAAATGATTCAATAATATTAGCGATATGACTTCAATGTTTATCTGTTGGACAAACTTTAGGCCTTAAAAAGTCTTAAGTCTTCTGACTTATTGTGTTGTAGGTTATACATCTTTTTTTTTAACAGGTTTTAATTTTCCTTTGTTCATGTATACCATTCTGGCCCTTAACACATGTACAATCACCAACAATCCCAATCTCAATAAAACGCTTAATTTTCTAATATGAAAATAGCATTTAATTTCTTTCCGTACAGTAACACTTGTTTAAAAGTTTTGCATTTATTTACTTCTGAAGATACTGACCTGACCAATAGTTTTTTATTATCAAAATATTATTATGATTGTATTGTTAAATGTATTAAATTATAATAATTTTTAAATAGGGCAAGTTAAAAGTCTTCTCCAACTGTGGTATCACAAATATCCTTAGCATTTAGCCCTGTATAAGCCTAAAATTGAATTCACTATGGTCTTAAAAATGTCTTTAAAAGGTCTTAATTTAACTTGGTGAAACCGGCAGAACCCCTGCTTTAGACCTATGCCGTTATTCGGTTAATGAATGTGTTTGGGATTGATATCATGGGAGCTTCAAAATATTCTGGATAATTATTTATTATTTAACGTGTGCTTATTAGGAGTATACACATTGTATTTGCAGTGGATTTTTGTATTTGCACCATTTTAGCCATTGCAACTCTATTCTAAATATGAGTTAAATATAAAAGATAAATACAAAAATGAGTTAAAATGATAATAAAATAACTTGTATGTATGAATGTGTTGTCTTTTACAGTCCACACTTACCAGGTGAGATTGTAGTTGCCAATGAGCAAGGAGCAGCGTATTTGTGGACTCCCAAAAAAGGGTAAGTGTGTGTGTGTGTGTGTGTGTGTGTGTGTGTGTGTGTGTGTGTGTGTGTGTGTGTGTGTGTGTGTGAGTGTGTGTGTGTGAGTGAGTGAGAGAGAACAATATGTGCTTGACTGTTATCTTGTGCCTAGAGCTCAGTGTACAAAACTCCAACATCTTCATCAAATCCACTACAAAAGGTTCTTTAGATGAGTTTGTCCAGTACCTAAGCTTATAGTAATGTTTTAATAAGATTAGTTTTAGATATTAGAACAGCTTGACCAGAAAACCTTATTTGTTATGTTAAATTCAAGTTTCAAAGCATTTACTATAATTAAGAATTCTCTTACACAGTGGTTCTCAAACTCTTTTTCACCAAGTACCACCTCAGAAAAAAATTGTCTCTCCAATTACCACCATAATGAGCAGTATTGAAATTCATAGCGTAGTAGGTCCAGCAAAGCAGCCACAGCTCTGCACAGTTTAAAACATGGCAAATTAATTCCTATTATTAATGATATTTATTATTATCGACCACTTTAAAGATTATAAATAGTTTGAACATTAACAATGTGCTTTTTAAAAGTTAATAAGAATGGTAGGCTACTGGTTTTACAAAGTAAAATAAAAAAACTCCTGTACTAAAATGTAAAGTATTAACATATAATATCCGATTCATCAAAACCTGTAAATGTTTCTTTATGAATATAGGCTATTCAACACCATATTGATATATGAACCATTTTTGATAAAATGTGAAATGTATGTAGCATGTACAAATGACATTTGATTCCTCTGCGTACCACTAGAAGCAAGCCCGCATACCACTAATGGTAAACGTACCACAGTTTAGGAACCAACGCTCTAACACTTTGATAGCTGCATATTTTTATATACTGAGATTATACTTTTTTCACCATTTTATCATATTTTCAGGTATTTAATGTTGATTTATTGTCACATAAATCAGTGTTATTTTAGTATAATTTAGTTTAGTAAATTATTCATTGTTTGAACATTTAGTTTGTTTAATCTTCAGTACTTGTTTGTGTTGTTGTGTTTTAGTTCTGATTGTTTTTGTACAATTTTTATTTCAAATTGAACCTTTATTGAGTGAATTATTAGTTATACTTATTTTGGGTTTGAGGATGAGGTTTTGTTCTGTTTTCATGCCCTTGTTTTGGTTTTATTTTAATTAACTAAACAGTTTTGGTGTAGGTCAGTAATAAAACTGGGCAGTTCTTCCAGAATTTTGCGAGTTCAATGGATCTTGAGATTATTAAAAAAATATTTTAAAAGATTTCTGTGTATTTTCACAGAAAAAACAGAATTTTAGTAAGTTTTGAGAAAAACATCACAAATCCCATTTTAGGCTGCAAACAAACACGCACATCTATATTTATATATGACTGTGATTGGCCTTGAAGGTCACTTCATTTACCAAACCGTTTAGTGAGTGTAACCACAGATACAGGGACACTGGAGCGTTTTAAAGCTGTAAAGTTCAGCTGGTCTGTTTATAAGCTGACATACAAGAGATCCCCTGATGAATTGACTGATCATCACGGCTTTAAAACGCTCCAGTGTCCCTGTATCTGTGGTTGCACTCTGTAATCAGTGGTGAGTTTGGTGAAATGATGACCTTCACGGCCAATCACAGTCATTTCTGTTGAGCATGTGAACAAAATGACAAATCAGCGATGTTTAAGAATGAGCTCAACAGCGCTCAAATGTTAGCGGGAAATGGACGTTTTTAAAATTACAGTACCAATTGGCATCGAATTCCAGTATTGAGACAACCCTAAAATATATATGATGTCCCTGCAAAATCCTGGAGGCACTGCCAGAAAATATTTAATTAATTTTGACTTAAAAATACAGATAATTTTATATTTGACACTTGCGTTATTTTTATTTGTATATTTTATCTTCTGTGCTATATTAAACAGCCAGTGCAAATGTCAAGATTTTCTGTGAAAGATTTAAATTTGTGTTTTTTTTCTTTGTTAAATAAAATCATCGTATAACTTTATAAGATATGCATAACAGTGCAGAATTTGTTTGAATAACAGTTGTGTTATTTTAAGTGTGCTTTCTGAAACGTGAAAAAACCCAGACTATTAAAAAAAATCTAAATTTCAACCTGTCATTTCATGTAGAATCAGTAAGGAACTGCTGTATTTGGGAAAAGTCATTTATTATAAACACAAGAACAACCAAATATCGATGATTCCCACAAATTATATGTAATTTCCTTATTGCATTCATAACAACCGTACATCATGCATGAATCTTCAGCAAGTTCCTCCATCAACAGCTTCAGAGAACAGTTTTCACTCTTAAACTGAAGTTTATGATTAATCAAACCTGTTTTTTTGCAGTAAGAATAAGCTGTAGTTCTGTAAATGAGCTGATGTAACCTGCACCACATGATGCAGCGTGTGAATGTTGTAACTCTGTTCTCTTCCAGATTGCAGAAGTTTCGTGAAGAAGATGCCAACCTGTACTTTAATGCCAAGTCGCCGTGGCGATGGTGTGATTTCTCCTGCCACCCGAGAGTGTTGGTCTATGCTGACAGAACAGGGGCGGAGCTTACAGACATACGGGTAAAGACTGAAATATCACTGAATAAAACCTGCTTATAGATGTTATAATGTTTTTTTTTTCCAGAGACAATGCACATTCTATAATTACAGAAAGGTATAATGTGCCAGAATTATCCCAAAGGCTTTTTTCCCCCTCTGTAGTGACTGGAATGATGCTAAAATAGTCACCCTAAATATATTAAACAGTTATTTAATTTATAATAATTACAAGCTTCAAAATACATATACATTTTTCATCATTCCTAAATAATGATTCTCTAAAAATAGACTGACTTTTTATGTCGAGGTCAGACTGCATGATTTTGGCCCCGATTTTGACTCGCCAACAAGTTTAGAGAAATCGCAGACAAATGTGTGAAATCACAGGCAAATCACTGCTTGTTCACGTGAGTAACAGTCACACAGAGTGAACCTTCAAAGACACCATCTGAGAGAATCGACGATGAGTTGCTAACAACCGTGAGATATTTGGCATACTAAATATCTGGAGCTGTCGGTGATTCAAATCATGCCGTGTGAAATGAGTATTCTGAATAAAAATAACATTAGCGATTACCTACAGCCGATGAGAGAGCAGCATCCACTAGTATGAGTATCTGCAGGCCAGTGGGAGGTTGGGGGAGAAGTTAAAAGGGCTTCGTGTAAATTTGGCAGAAGCACTTGTGTCTGTTTAAAGTATCATCTGAGCAACACCCCAACCAGGTCAGAAAAAAGTTGAGGGGAAATTGTCAATTCCCTTCAAAACCAGGCGAGCAACATAAGTTTCAAACCCCACTAAAGGCTTATTTCTTATTACATAGTTAATCGCAAAAGGTATATTACGTCACCTCACATTGCTTCCAAGCACCTGTTTGCGTGTGTGAATTAAAATTAAATCAATTAAAATGACAGTAATTCAATATTTTCATCAAATATTTTCCTTAGACTTCTGTGCTATACTATAGAATACTATAACAAATGGACTGATGTATGTATATGTATGTAAAAGGTGTAATTTTCCACACTCATAAAGAGCTGGAAAAGATTTAAAATACACATGGAAAGTCCTTAAATTTGACTGGAGATGTTGTAAGAATCCTGAAAAAACCCCACATCTGAATACCAGAGTGAAGTAAATAAAAATCATCAGCATGCTATGAAGAAATCAAAGGTAGATACCTTAGAAAAGATACCCCGATTTTTTTTTTTTTTTTTGTGATCTTTTGACATTGAATAGGTTTTCTCAGGAGTGCATTTGGAAATTAGCCTGATCCAATATACAACTTTCACTTAAATAATGTGCATTTGTTTTCTAGCCGTTCCAACCTGAAGTTAATCCTTTATCTTGGCATTATGTTGAAGTTTTTGGCCACAAAAAAATGCAATAAATCAAAAATTGTGCACTTGTAATTTTCATTAGTAGGTAATAAATTACATACTTATATGTGGAGTATATTACCTAGATACCCTTTTCTTCAATTTTTAGGACAAAGTTGATCAGCTGTTGTTGTTGTAAATATTTTATTGAAATGTTTTTTTGTGTGTTGAAATGGCACTGGTTTTGCCACCCGTGAATATAATATAGCCATTGTTGCTGACATTAAGTCATAAATCCTCTTTTGTGAACCTAATCCATAATCAAAAACAAGGCTATTTACAGGATCTCTCTCTCTTCCTATTTTGCTTCTGATCTTTCTGCTTTTGCTCATGCCTTTGTTTATTATGAATAATGGTCCTTATTTGCAATTCTCTTAGATGCATGAAAGCATCTGCTAAATGAATAAATGTACAATATTTGAATAAATCTCACTGGATGAATGTGGTGGAACAGATGAAAAGAAACTGCTTTCTAATTGATCAAATTATTACGGTTGTACAATAAGGATATGTTAGTTAAAGCATTACTAACATGACAAACAGTAAAGAATACATTTACTGCAGTATTTATTGATGTCTGTTAACTTTAGTTATTGAAAAATACTCATGTATTGTTAGTAAATGTTCACTTACAGTGCATTATCTAATGTTAATAAGCATGAATCATTAGTAAGACTTTATTTTGATGGTTTTTATTGCACATAAGAAACTGCAAGTACATGTCAACTTACACTAACCCCTAACAGTCTACTTATAATCTATTGAGAATTAGTTGGCATGTAGATGCAATGTAACTTAAATTCAACAAAATGCGTTAAAGGGAACAATAAAATAAATTGATGCCGGATCATTACTAACTGCTGTATTATTAGTTCATGTTAGTAAATACATCAACTAACATTATCCAATGAAACCTTATTGTAAAGTGTGACCATTAATTTTGATTCCATTTATTCTTTTTAATAGAATATAACAATGTTATGAATAAATACTTTAATGTTAATAATTTCCTTGACAATAATAATAGATTAATCATCTAATTTTGTTTTTTACAATTAGAAACTTTAGTATATATAATATATATAACTAATGATTTATATTTATTGCATCAAAGGAACATTTGTATATAAAATGTATAACACATCATATTGAAATCACAATTGTTAATAATGACTGGACTTTTATTATCATTATTATGAGTTGTAGTAGTATTAAAAACCGTATTAAACAATGATTATCAGATTAATTTTCTTGTGTTTACACATTTTGTTTTGTTGTTTTATTTCCTCCTTCAGTCCCTTCCCTTATTTCATATGAATTTACTTATGTAATTTGTTATTAATCTTTGTCTCTTCCTTCATGCAGAGTGCTGACTGTAATCACACCTTGTTCCGCATTGGAAAGACTCCAGCTTGTCTGTCGGGAGAGCGAGTGATTCTGGTCAAATACCTGGGCAACATCCACCCCCATCACCACCTTATCAACACACAGGTAAAAACACCGTCTGACATCAGTGCAGTCAGATATTACCCATTAAAATACAGGTGTCAAACTCAGTTCCTGGAGGGCCGCAGCTCTGCATGGCTTAGTTCCAGTCCTGATCAGACTAATTGAGTGTTTTAGGCTTGTTTGATACCTACAGATAGGTGCGATGAAGCAGGGCAGGAATTAAACGCTGCAGGGCTCCGGCCCTGCAGGAATTGACTTAGACACCCCTGCATTAAAGGGATAGTTCACACAAAAGTGAAAATATCCTTTTTGATTCTTTCTTTTAAGATCATCAAGCATGTTCGACTGGATTGTGTTAGTTTTAATTCTGTGAGGAATTTATTCTGTTCATTATTTTGAAGCAATTTTTTTTATTTATTTAACTGTTTATCCAAATGCAGTTTGAGTTTTTGCCAAAAATAAACAGTAAGACATTAATATAATCTATATCTCCACCAGACCTCCACCTACATGTTCTTGTCTTAAAAATGGCCTGGAGAAGAAGCTGGCATGGAGTTAACCACAAACAATTGCTCCCTCTTATGGTTAAAATGTCTTTCTTCTGATGAACACAAAAGATATATTGATAAATGCTGATTTCTGGGACACAACATCAACTATTATAGTAGGAAAACTACTTAAAAAATTACTATGGATGTCAATGGGTGCAAGCTAGCTGCAATTTTCTAAATATCTTTTTTTGTGTTCAACCGACAAAGAAAGACTAAATTAAGTTTAAGACAGAATTTTTATTATTTAATTTTCAGCTGAGTTATTTCTAAATACCATAAGGGATTTCCGTGAGATTTTTGAAAACATACTTGTATGGTCATCTGTAGGGATGTATGGACATTTTAGCCGATGTTGATAAACAACTCTTTAAATTTAGATAGGCCTATAAATATATTTTTTTCTGTTCATGATTGCAAAAGCAAAAGGCAAACACACATTATACTGTTTACATATACAGTTAGTCATTTAGTTCCTGGAGGATCATCAACACTGCATGTTTTGGATGTCTCCTTTGTCACACCCATTACAGGTATTTCAGTCTCTGCTAATGAGCCGATGATCTGAATTAGGTGTGTTTGATTAAGGAGACATGGAAAATGTGCAGAGCTGGTGGTCCTCCTGGAACGTGGTTGAGAAACACTGGTTTAGCTGACGCTTTCGTTCAAAGTGACCTACAAAGTTAGAAAGTAACTAGTTACTGTAATTAAATGACTTTTCCAGTGAACAATTAAGGAATTATTTTTCATTTTTTAGGCAATTAAATTACTTTATGTACTTGTCTGAAGTACTGTAAATAAATAATCAGTTCTGTATAAATCAATTTAGAGAAACAGAGTAAATTTAGATGTATTTTTTTATTCGCATATTTTGCATAATAACCCATTTTTTCCGACAATTGTATGTGCTTTCGAAACGAGTGAGGAATTTAAGCCAATATATGATATGTATGAAATATGGATTGGTCTTATGAAACTCTTTTTTTTTTTATTATTTTATACATAATGTTTACCTTTTTTTAAACTAAGAGGTCAACATAAATAACTCTTTCAATTCTGTACATTTGTCTGTGCATTGATGTCTACAAGTTAATGTTTATGAGTTAAGCAGTATTGAGTGATTAAATTACTTATTGATTAATTAGGAGACTTTTCAGACAAAGTAATTGGAAAAGTAATTTAAACACAATTATAATGATGCAATAAGTATTTAATTTAGTTAGCCAACATTAGTTACTTACAAATGAGCTAGCAATCTGTAAGAGGTAATACACACAATAAGAACTACTTGCACAAATGTACTGATGTTGCTTAGAGCGGTGGTCCCTTTTTAGTCAAGCCTTTTATCACTGCGGACCAGTCGACGCTTGATAATTTTACCGTGGCCCATGACGAGCTGACAAAACATTGCTTATTTATGGAGAAAATTAAGCAGCACTGCAGTGTTTGGTTGTTCTGTGTTTGTCTGAAGTAATTAGTCTACCGAAATGTGTATATTTCATAACGAACTTGCACACAGAAAAAACTCGATATGTGAATGGACTCTAAAGCCGCCGTCATTTGCGATCTCCACCAGTTGATCATCTTTCACAGGCATGCTGGATTCCCCTTTGCAAAGAAACTTTCCTAAGACGTCTGCTTTTTCTAGGATGTGGGTTAAATTTTGGTACTCAAGTGCCCTAGATATAACCGAGAGAATACTGTCAAAATAAAAGATTGTTCAGACTCAAATAATAAATAAAACGGAAATAATGAATGAGTTCTTGTGCAGCCCAGTACCAATTGATCCATTGCAGCCTGGGGGGTTGGGGATCACTGGCTTAGAAAAATAAGAGCTATTTTATCGAGGCTTTAATTGAATTTCAGCACATCTATCTAATCCCTTCTCTGTACAAAAGAAAATAACTTCCTATTTCCTCGCTTGCAGTTTTCCTCCTACATCATGGACGAGCGGGTTCCCAGTATTCCTATGCTGAAATGGGACCACATGATGGACTTTCCACCAATATACACCTGCGCTTTACCTCCAAAATCCCAGAGTCAAAGCTGCAAAGTGCTGCTGGGAGCTCAGAGGTCGCAGGAAATCATGTTACTGCAGTACACGGGTGAGAGCTTTGGGCTTGTTAACAACAGTTGCATATTGTATTGCATAACATGTTCCTTCATGGCAAATCATTACACTCAAAGCAAATTGCTGTGCATTATTATCATCATTATGCATTATTATGTGCCAAGTTGGCGGTTCATTCCACTGTGATGACCCCTGATAAATAAAGGGACTAAGCTGAAGGAAAGTAAATGAATGAATGTGATCAATTCTGAGACACAAAATTAACAGTTGCACGTCAGGGGCTTCACAAGGGGCCTTCAGTGACATGATCTTGAATGGGGTCCTTCAGCTAATTTAAATTTTCCATGGACTTGCCCAATTTAAAGATAGCATGTTAAAGTGCGCTCGTTTTTGCAATTGTTTTGGGACTTCCGATGTAGCTTCCTATGGGAGAAATGACTAGGAATATTAAATGGTAGAAAACGGTCAAACTACTTGCTCGACAAACAACTGTTTGCATGACTATACACACAAAATAGAATAAGACAAAAAACAAATATCGGTTTGCAACATCAAGCTGCAAAACGAGCTGTTTTTAACATCTAAAATGAATGGAAGTGAATGAAACCGGAAGTCTCGAGGCAAAATGATTGAAATGGCTGTGCCCGCTCGTCCACGGAGAATAAGGTGAATAGTGTCACACCAAAGGACATGGCTTGACAATTGCGAGTTACTAAAAAAGACACTTGTAAAACAAGATCAGAGGTATTTATTAATGAATGATTTCTTTTTAATTTATAAGAGCTGTAATTTATTGAACTATGCTTGAAATGGTCACACCGTAAGACAGTTTTGAAATTTTTATAACAAGGAGTTCATGTTTTCTGCATTTTAAGTGATGGTAATACTAATTAGTTTTTTTTTTGTCGTGTGTTGACAGTGAAAATGCAACAACCCATATCATCTCTTGTTTTGTGTCATCTAGGTGGCAGGCAACATGCTTGTCAGACTCAAGGACCCATTCAAAAGCTTTTGTGTCCAAAAGACAGTCTAAGCCACCTGAACCTTCAGCTGCCGCACAAGAGACGCATCGCTCAGAAGAGACTGAACAGCCCTGCTGCAGGTCAGAAACGTCCTGCAAACATTTAAAACAGCTGAAGATTAATAAGTTTTGATTTGCATTAAATATGGACTGTATGAAGTAGCAGTTCAAGTATTACCTGTGTAGCATATGTTAACATGGTGTCTTACAGGTTGGTCTGAAGTGCTCATTATACAAACCTAATTATTACAGTGAAAGTGAACATGTTCCTGATTATTTTTATTATAGGAATAATTAAGAAAATTATGGACTGGTAATTTTTCTAATAAGTTCATTGACTCAAATCAACATTTGTAGGTCAACTTATAGTAAAATAATAATAATAGAATCTTATAATAATTATTAAAATATCTATTCACATTAAAACATGGTTTTATTTTTATTTATTTATAATTTATTTTATTTATTTGTGATTTAAATAATTGTTTTTTTAATACATTTTCAACTTAAGTACAACTGTCAAATTACAATATATATTGTTATGGCTTAATGTATTTGCATTAAAAGTTTGAGCAACTCAACATATTCAACATATTATCAACTTCATCTTCATATCAAAGTCGCTAAATGAGAAAATTTGAGAGATGAACTATGAATTTTGAGCAAGAGACTGGCTTTTGCTGGTCATCCATGGTGTTTTGCTATTTGTTTGTGTTGTTTTGAGAAATGCACCGACTGTTTTGCAAATTTCAATTCAGATCTGAGAAATCACACAGGCATGACTACAAACTACAAAACGTGCATTATTTTTTTTCATGTGATAAATGCAGGGTCTTTTGCATTATATTTTTATTCATAAATTGCTCTGTAAAGTTATTTTTGTTGTTGTAAAATATTTGTAATTTTTTTTTGAAGACAACAGTATAGGCCTATATGGTCAATCATATAGTCAATAAAAAAACTGTAAAATAGCATAAATTCTGTATCAGGAAATGTGAACTCATCGGAAATAAGGAAAATAAATCACAATGCATAAAGTTTTTATAAAGTAGTTCATATTATTAGTACTAAATGAACAATCTTTACAAAAATAGCACTAAAAATCTACTTAAGTATTGTAACAAATTATTTTACTTCGTTACTTCCCATCTCTGGAAATCAGTATATCAGCATAGATGTTTACTGAATTTGCAGTAATTTCTCAGACTTGATAAACTCACCACAAACTGTCACTAAAATCCTTGTGATTGTGAACAAAAAAGAATAAACGATGAAATTAAATTGTTACATTTAAAAGAAAGCAGAAGCAGATCGGCTTGACTGTACAAGGGAAATACCACACAAGCGGTGCTAAATCATTTGCCGTTGGTATGCAGAGGGGTGATCTACTCTCGAGCTGCAGGTATGAGAGACTGCTGGGTTGGTACTGGGCCGCCTGTGAGTGCTCCGAGGCAGGAAAGTAGCCTACAGCATCACCCGCAGCTCGTTGATAAAAGTAGGAACGGTATTGTATGGACACATGAGAGTCTACAAAAATCTACAGTAACATGTTGTTAGATTGGGTCGTCTGTCATATACAGCATTTTTATTAAAGAAGATATATTATTTAAGTTTATCACCTAAAACTATAGAAACTGTATTATGCTTGGAAAAAAAAAGCGCACACTATCGGGATCAGACCTGTATCGGTCGATACTCAGAATTTTGTTATTGAGGTCAGATCAGTTCCAAAAAATGGTATCGGTGCATCCCTAATTAACACAGAGATTATCAAGCTCCTGTACTCATTTCTGTTCTTCCTCAGGTTTCATGGCTCTACAGAACAAGGACTACCTGTCTGTTTTTCATCTTACGGACACTGCAGACATCTTTTACCAAACATTGAAATTGCAAACAGATCAAACCACGACCGATGCTCAGGATCCAGAACAAGCCGTCAGAGTGGAACCAACAGTAGGAGACAATGAAAACTTGCAGTTACAAACCAATGACAACATTTCTGAGAACGACTCTGAGACCGAGGGACAGCAAGTGCCTCTCAGTCCTTTGAAAGTTATCGACAATGTTGATAACGATCCCTTAAACAATTTAGATGCAAATGAAAACGTCAGCAACGAACCACCTAACAATTCAACTGGGATTAATCCAAGTGGCTCCACCAAACCTCTTAAACAAAGCAAATATCTTGATCTTCAACGTATTTGGGACGTATGGTTCGACTATCTTTTTAAAAACTCCGCCGACAAGAAGTGGCTTCCTCAATTTCGAAGGATCTACACTGCAGATATAAAGTGCTTAAGAACTAATAAGCAAGATAAGCTTGAGGAAGATCGGTTGACGAGATTGAGGAAAGACCTGCAAGAGGTCATGAGGAATAGAGACTTGCTTGTGCATGGCGTCACGTATCTGCCTCACTTAAATGTGGAGCAAATTCCCGATCCTGTAGATCCTGAAGATTGGCCTGACGATGTGAGCCAGCGAATGGCGGCATCTTGGGAAGGCAATTGGAAAAGCTGGTGGGAAGACAAGCTGGGCTTAAACCGGGACAAAAAAATAGCAAATCTCCGTCAAAAGCGTCGGAGGGAAAAGCAAGCCAGAAGTCGCTCTCGCACATCGCTTTCTGGAAGCTTCGCCTCGTCTGTTAGCAACCCGGACAGTCTCTCTGGTTGGTCATCGGCCACGAGTCAGTATTTGGGCTCGGATGAGGAAACTTTGGAAAATTCTCAAGCCACGGACATCGAGGAGTGGAAGTCCAGACCTGAGAACCGCAACAAGAGCCCCATCTTATTGAGGCGCTTTCTAAATGAACAGTCGGTTGAGAAAGAAGCGGTTATTTCTCCTTTGAGAAGACTTGAGCAAGAACTAATGAGATCTTCAAAATCTCAGCCCTCCCTTCAGGTAATTATTCACTGTCATTAGCCTTATGATAGTTTCTTTAGCTGAAGCTTTTATTACGAGGTTGACCCGAGTTGCAAAAATAGTTACTTTTTGTTTTTTTTATTAAGGATTTTGAAATATTACTAACAAGCAAGCCAATCAAACAAACAAACCCCAAGCGCTGCCAGTTAAATAAAGTGTACAAATCTATCTGTTAACAAAATAAGTCAAAACAAAAGAAGCCAGAACTGAATGAATGGTATTTTATTTTTATTTTTATCAATTATGTCATAAAGGGAACACATGGAAACACTGAAAAAATTTAGCTATAAACTCTACTGACTGACCCCACATGAGAAATCAAACTCCTTTTCACAAATTGAGCTTAAAAAACATTTGTAATTTTTGGTTTTCATGTTTTCATAAAATTTTTTATTTTTATTTGACTCACTCTGAGGTACTGGATGCGACCTTGAAGTAAGGACTGATAGGAGGGAAGTTGTTGTGTTAATGTAATTTAACATCGTTTGTCAAACGAAAAAACTGCATCTTCCGGACAGCATAAACGTGTGTTTGGTAAAGCTGTGGTCACACTGGGATTTTCCTCCCATAGACTTCCATTCATAGAATGCGTCAGACTGGAAACGCAGGGTCATGCGTTAAGTTTCGCAGGTGTCTGCGGTGCAAAGTTCAAGCTTGGTGAACTCTGACCTGTGAAATCGCATCACTTGACTGCGTGAGACTAATCGAAGATCAAAACATGACCTCTCCTGACAGAAATTTCAAACTTGGAGCAATCGCTCGCTTTTTTTAATGCCTAATAATCTTGCTTATTCCCGCCCCTTTTCGCAGCGCCGTACGCACACACAAACTCTAGTGTGACCGCAGCTTAATGATGATGTGACCAGGCTCGAGAAGTTAACTGTGTGTGTGCGCGTGTGCACTTAGAGATGTGTGTATCTGTGGTACTTTACTGACTTGGTTGGTGTAAAGAAAAGTATCAAACAGTCGTGTGTGTATGTCCTGTCACAAAATGCAGCTAAAAGTCCTTCACGATATTGATAGTTTGATTCAGGTCTTTACATGTTTGTACTGCCCTTCAATAATGCAACTGAAATAGGAATACTCCACGTCTAATTCCATTTGTGCTTACAACGATTATTTTTAGCATATCTAAATGCTGTTCCATTGCAGGGTAATGTGTGTGTGGCTGAAGTTGTAGCCTCTGTTGGACATGGCAGCCGCTGAACTCTGGTGGAAAAAAATACTCACCGAGGAACTCTGAGGCCACACTGGGTTGGGTTGCCAGGTGTGCTCAAAGCACCTAACTTGCCATTTAAATCCAACCTTGCCTCTGATCTTCAGTGCTAATTTTATCCCCACTCTTTATCATAACATCACAACTCACGAGACAACTTTCTTACCTCCTCTCGAAATCTCGTCACAATTTAATCTCACAAGATCTCTTCACATACCTGATATCGCAGCAAGATAAAATATCGCAATGTCATATTTTTTAATATTGTGCAGCTCTAATTTTTGCTCTACAAGCACTTTCAAATATTCATCTTACCATCCCCAAACTGAATGAATGAATGGTAAAAATGTCAAGTAGATTTAAAGGTCCCACTTTATTTTAAGTGTCCCTAACTACTATGTACTTACATCAAAAAATAAATACAATGTACTTACTGTGTTTATAATGTATTTGAGAACACTTGTGGTGCTTTTGAGTTGGGATAGAGGTTGGGTTATGGACAGGTCTGGTGGCATGGGTAGATTTAAGGGTAGGTTAAGGTGTAAGGGATGGTCAACAGTGTACTTACAAATGTAATCACAAAAGTTAATTACAGATGTAATTACTAACATGTATTTAATCAAGCTTAAGTACACAGTAAATAAATGTATTTACACAATAAGTACATTGTAACAAACTATTAACTACTGTGTAAGTACATATTAGTTAAGGCCACTTAATATAAAGTGGGACCTAATAATGATTTAATGCCGTCAAATGTTTTTGCTGTGAAAATGACTTAAAATATTTTAATGCTTTGTGCTTGTGCTTCATTAATTGGGTTGATGTCTTGTTTTCGCTAATTCATGAAAATGACATAATATAAAGACATGTTTCTGCTTAATGCATCTTTAAACTAAGATAAAAATAAAGACAATGTGTACTTTTAATAGTTGATCATGCTCATAAAAAAAGTGTGAAGATCCACAAAGAGCGGCAAATGCTAATTATTGTAATATTTTGCCAGAAGATCCATTATTATAGACTGTAATTAAATGTTTTCATGTATCACACAAATAATATATTAATCTCCAATGTACCCCTACTTTCAGGTTAAACAACCAACCTCCGGCACCCCTAAAGCTACAGTAGAGAAGGATTCGGTAGATCATCCCGGACTGGTCAGCCCATTGCGGAAGTTATCCATCCCATTAAAACGCTGCAAGGAGTTTTACCTTAGTTCTCTTCCCACTTCCCAAGCATCTACTCAAGACTCTACAGCGGATGGTGGATTTTCTGTCCCTCAGGCTCGCCTTTTGTCACCGGCTGCACCTTCCCAGCGAGCTTCCCAAATCAGAAGCTCCTCACAGGCCTCCCAGCCAAAGAAAAAGTCTAGGATGGGCTTCTAAAACTCTGGCTCCAAACAAGGAATGCAGCAAAGGCAAGTGACCTACTTTTTGTGCGGTGTCGAATGTCTGGATACTGTATAGAGGCGGGATGTGTTTGAGTGAACAATCTGAGCCAATGTTTATGTAGCGAGTATGTGTTTGTCTGTGCATTGCAGGAATTGCTTGAATGTTTTTGTGCGTAATAACACAATGATTACTTGTTTAAACCAATTAGAAGATACTGGTGGTCTTTTGATTGCATTTAATGAAGGGTGTCCACTAGGGCTGTACAATATACCTTTTCAGCATCTATACCATAATATGATCAACGCAATAATCATATCAAGAGTATACACAATTATGAGTCTGGATTATCATTTATTTATATTTAATTGTTGATTATTATTTATTATTACATTGATTATAATTGATCATTTTGCAAGTGTTTTTTGAGGCCTGTGACTGTATCAGGATTTTAGAAGCATTGAGGCCTATGAAATTGTGCCATTTGGAACTTAAATTAATAACGATAAATTAATAACGAAAAATTAATAACGATAAATTTTATTGAACTGTTTATAAAACGAATGCCATGTGGTGTTATTTCACATTTATTTATTCAATTACTGTATACCTGAATACAGTTTGACTCCGCGGAAAACAATAAAACGATTTTTATTTAATTGATATCTCTTTCTTTATTGAACATATCGGTTCTTGTAGATTGTTTATTATATTTTAAACAATCTTGTACAGTATCATCCCAATCAATCTGAGATTATATTATTCATCCCATTTAGTGAAGTTGTGTTCATCTTGCAATATACAGTTGAAGTCACAATTATTAGACCCTTGAATTATTAGACCGCTTGTTTATTTTTTCCCCAATTTCTGTTTAACAGAGAGCAGATTTTTTCAACACATTTCTAAACATAATAGTTTTAATAACTCATTTCTAATAATGGATTTATTTTACCTTTACAATCATGACTGTAAAAAATATTTTACTAGATATTATTCAAGACACTTCTAGACAGCTTAAAGTGACATTTAAAGGCTTAACTAGGTTAATTAGGTTAACTAGGCAGGTTAGGGTAATTAGACAAGTTGTTGTATAATGATGGTTTGTTCTGTAGACTATCGGAAAAAAATATATAGCTTAAAGGGGCTAATAATTTTGTCCCTAAAATGTCGTTTAAAAAATTAAAAGCTGCTTTTATTCTAGCCGAAATAAATCAAATAAAACTTTCTCCAGAAGAAAAAATATTATCAGACATACTGTGAAAATTTCCTTGCTCTGTTAAACATCATTTGAGAAATATTCAAAAAAGAAGAAAAAAATCGAAGGGGGTTAATAATTCTGACTTCAATTGATTATTACAGAATTAAAAAAATATCGCAATGTTAGACTTTTACACTATTGTGCAGCCCTAGTGTCCGCAGAGTCTTCAAAAGCTAAAATATAGGCCTTAGAAGTCTTAAAATCACTTGTCTTGTAGGTCTTAAATGATTGTAAACAGATCTTAATTTCCCTTTGTATATTTAAGCTACCCAATCAGGCCAATATGCATCCAATCAACAATACATCTCAACAGAACTTTAGATAAAACTCTATTTACCATAATTCATAGTTGAATTAATCAGCTGGTAACCGAATATTAACGATTAATTGGTCAGAAATTAATTAACAAATGAATTGACGTGTCTATTCTGTGACTAAAATGTTTAATATAAGTCTGAACAGGTTGACCCAGGCATGCGCAAGGCAGGCAGTTTTGTACAATTACGTAATCTATCGGCTTTATTTTGATATCGAATGATAAGATTAAAAATAGCATTTATCGGCCGATATTGATATGGCTATCGATATTTCGTGCATCTGTAGCTTTTTTCTGTCAAATAAACTAGCAGGCTACCTCAAATAAATCGCTCCACAGAAAATATGCATTTAATTATTATTCCTATATCACAAACCTCTGTCAATATTTTTAATAGAAGTCATTATTTTAAGGATTATATCATGCGTTTGCCTTAGAGCTTCTGTGCTTTCATTTTCTCCGTGTCACTCTTGGTTCATGTGGGCACTGCACATGCATTTGATAGGAGACAAACAACAAGGCGCATATGTTTTTAAAAAATATATATATAAATAGGCTGCTATTGCATGCAATACAATAGTTTAGTTTTTTTGCATATAGTATTGCATTAATTTTCATATATGTTTTATAGTTTACATAGCTATAAAACAAAAGCCTCAGTTTGGTGTGGAGTTATCATTGTGCAAAAATCAAATGATGCAGATGCAGGAGAGAGGCCATCAGCGCTGGTTTGGCATCAGCTCATCGGTGTCAAAATGTGACCAGCAATATCCTCCTTTTTGCTCCTTTCATTAAGATTATTAGGAAAAATATGTAGTTGCATGTGCTACCACCTGGCGAGTTAACAAGTACATGTTGCACATTTATGCAGCAAAACTGAAAAATTATATTAAAATTTTTTTTTTTCACCGTTTAACTGATACCATCGGTTAAAAAAAGCATCCTTTCGGTTAATCGGTTAATGTGAGCATCCCTATTACAATAATATTTGTTTAAAAGTTCTCTGTGTATTTTTAGTCTATACATGCTGAGGGCACTGATCTGACTGTTGTGCTACATCTAGTTAATTATAGTTTTTAGAGAAGTTTAACGATATTTTATGTCAAGAAATGTGTATACATACAACTAGAGTTTGCTTGTTGTGACAATTTCTGTAAAATGTGTGGCTAAGAAATAACTAATTATGATATAACATTTATATATATATATATATATATATATATGTATGTATATATATATATATATATATATATATATATATATATATATATATATATATATATATATATATATATGTATATATATATATATAAAAAGAAGTCTTTATATAATAAATAATATGAATACAATTTTATTCATGATAGTCTTAAAAAGGTCTTAAATTACTCATTGCACCAATTAGGGGATACTGGTGGTCTTTTGGTTGCATATATTGCAGGACCTTAAAGTTTTCAATTAAATTTTTTTTAATTTAGGCCTTAGAAAGTTTTAAATTCACTTAAATTTAAAATAACTGTTAACAGTTCTTAATTTTCCTATGTCCATGTAAAGTTACCCAATTCGCGTCCCAATAATTAACAATCCATAAAAACTCTATTTAACAATATATTATAGTCCATGTACAGTAAGAACACTAACCTGGACAGATTGTTGTGCGTACATTTAGTTTATTATAGTTTTTAAAGATTTTTTAAGATATGTTGAAAATTGTGCATGAATACAACTAAGTTTACTTGTTTTGACAGTTTAAAAAAAATGTGGCTAATTATGATATAACATAAAAAAAGTTCTATACAAGTATGAAATTTCATTCATCACTGCCTTAAAAGGTCTTAAAAGTCTTAAATTTGGCTTTGTGAAACCTGCAGAAACCCTGTAATGGCTGTAAAGGGAAATCCGAGGCTTTATGGCATCAGTGTTCTTTGTTTTGTGTTTGTTGTGTTTGCCTAAATCTTAAAATGCCTGTTGTGTTTTCCAAGGTTCTCCTTTAGTTTCATCATACTATGTAGAGCATTGTGTAATGGATCCTGTGGTATTTCTTTGGCATGCTGCCCAGCTGTTTCTTCGAGGGAACAGAAATCTTGCTTCTAGCGCATGAAACTGACTAGAGGCTGTTTTTAACCAAGCACTGTTTATTGGTTTCCCAGAAGAACAACTTCTTCTTTTTGTGAAACTATCACACTCGCGTCACACGCGGAAGAATTGCATCAATCTCGGACTGGTTGTTTGTGCGTGTTTAAATCAGCTGATAGCATCATGACGTTGTAGTGTACTGTTGGTGGGTGGGAATCTTTAGGGACTTCACGATCTGATCCAATTCTGGGAGTCACCATTTGATTCCAAAACGATTCTTGATCTGCGTTTTCTCCTACTTCTTACTATGTAAACAGATCCTTTCAATTTGACATTTTTACTAGAATTGGGAGTTTCGATCCTTTTGTTTGTGATCTTAATCTATGGATGACAGCATTTCCCTTTTTAAAATGATTTACTTTATTTAAAAAATTTTATATTCAGCATGAACGAGCTCTGAAAAAAAACATTGAAATCATTCTAAAAAAGATATATTTTTTTGTTTGTTTATAAGATTTTAACAAATAAATGACTTCAAAACAAAAATACAAAATGACATTTGGAATTAACATTGGGATTGCTTTTAGTTCGGAGGCACAGACAACTAGTCAGAGACCCTAGTTTTTCATGATTCTGCTGAATCCAACGCAAAATCAAAAGTCGCAAGATTTTGTGATGCTGCAAATTTCTGAAAATAATCGAATAAAAGATCAAATTTCAAACAATATAATCAAATAATACTTATTTCAGTTTGCAATTAATTGTTTTACATGACTTTTAGACGTTGCGCACATGATGTATTTAAGTGTCTCTCTAAATAATAATAATATTACATGGGGGGCGGGGGAGTGTTTAGCTTTTGCAGTAAGCAGACGCAGATAGAGCGCGAGTGATTTACGTGTGAAGTCACAGCAAAGATGAGATATAGACATCTTGTGGCACAAATTAAGGGTTTTGTGCGTTTGACGCGCTTTAAAATCAAGCATGTCTCCAACATGTATTAGATTTGCTAAGATGAATGTCTCCAATTGACCTACCAAGCGGCTTTAATGCGTCCTTAAGTAAAGTGAAATGGCGATAATATCCAGCAAGATAAAGTCATCTATACATTTTTAAAGTATTTTAAAGCATTATCGATTATCTATAAAGTATAATTATGGAAACTGCGTTCATCTTAACTGAAAGCTACGTCGTGTTTGCTAGTCTCACGCATCGCGCACCTGTCAGTCAGCATGTCACCTTAAAGTGTTAAACAAACGACACACAGCACTACTATGATTACAGAAAAGTTTGCTCAGTTAAAACTCACCTTTTAACACGTTTTGTTGAGATTATATCCCGCTATTAAAAACAACAACCACTGAATGTTTTTATTGAGGAGTAATGTTGTCGTGGCGGTGTGAATTTTGGTGAGGCGCCCCACCATGGAAGAATAAATGTAGCGGAAACCTTGCTTTGTCCAGATAGAGCAAATCCTTCAACGTTTATTATTTTTCTGTTTCTGGTTTGCAATTGGCGGCGTGGTGGCTCATTGGTGAGCACGGTTGCCTCACAGGTTGCTGGTTCGAGTCTCGACTGGGTCAATTGGCATTTCTGTGTGGAGTTTGCGTGTTCTTGTTGTTGACGTTGGTTTCCTCCAGGTGCTCAGGTTTCCCTCACAGTCCGAACGCAAGTGCTATAAGTGAATTGGATGAACTAAATTGGTTATAGTGTATGTGTGTGTGAATGTGTATGGGTGTTTCCCATTACTGAGTTGCAGCTGAAAAGGTATCTGCTGCGTAAAACAAATGCCAGAATAGTTGGCGGTTCATTCAGCTGTGGTGATCCCCTGATAATTAAGGGGCTAAGCTAAAGGAAAATAAATGAATGGTTCACATTTGAGTCACAATCTAATTTGAATACAGAATCGATTGTAAGCTTTTTGGAATCGATTCGGAATAATTTGAGAAAGAATTGTGATGCGTTGATGAATAGATGTTCTTTCTCCCACCACTAAACCTTGGTATGATAAAGCTCCGGGTTTGTCTTCTGTGGTGTAAAATCCAGTGCCATTGAGGTGATTTACTGCATGTACAGTGTGTTTCAGCATACAGTACAGAGACACTTAAAGGGATAGTTCACCCATAAATCACTTTCATATTCAGAACAAGCAAAACAAGAGACATTGAGTGAATTTCAAAATAGCTTTTTTTTTTAATTGTAAATGTTTTTTTTATATTACCATGACAAAAATAACAATAAATAAGTTAATATCTACAAGATGCTATACAGAACGTATATGCGGTTTTTTTTTTTACATTATACAAATGTACATTTTTTTTATATCAACATTTTTTACATTTTGTAAGGTTTTTTAGGCTTTTTTTGTGTGTTCCACATTTTCAACATACAGTAATTGTCTTCATACATCGGCTAAAGTGAAACATACTAAATTGGCAAGTAGGTTAACAACATCACACTCAAACATACACACGAGAATTAAACAATCCGCCTTATTTTTTGAACACCATGCACACCACAGTAAATCTCTGACTAGGAGCTCAGAGAGGCGGCAGTTCAGCTTTCCCACAGTCACGCGCTTACAATCATTTTACAAAACTGTGCAAAGCACCAAAGTACAAGTCCTAAGTTGTTCTATAACAGTCTAGTGTACCTTGGATATGTCATATTGAGCCGCCTGGAATGTTGACAAATCCAAACATGCACCATCTATTATATACTCTACGGCTACATTTTTTTTTTTTTTTGTGTTGATTTTGATCAACTTTTTAGCTGCCTGTGCTGAATTATTTCACTTTAGCTTAACACGAGAAATCAAGAAGAGATGTTTACAGTATAAGGAGCGGCTTTCTGGGAAGCCAAAGAAGAGTTTTAAAGATACAATTGTGATATTTTGGACTGGTTGGTTTCAGGCACAATGGCACCTCGCTGTACAACGTTAGGTTTCCAGCTAGGGAGGTCTGTGACATCATCGCAAAAGATGACAAGGAGGCCATTCAGATCATTGGCAGCCACTTCTCCACTGGTGTTTGTGCTCCTCTCTGTTTTGGTTTGGAGCATTATTAGAGTCTGCGGGCACGGGATAGGAAGTTGGAGGGGAAGTAGGGACCCTCGGCATCGCTGCCCAATGAGCTGCTCAGACTCTCTTCACCAGAGCTCAAGTCTTCACTTGAATCCTCACTGTGGAAAGAGGAAAAGCCCAGTCAACTTCAATATTCATATAGCACATTTAACCAAGTCAAATTGCTCAAAGTGCTTCACATAACCTGTTGAAATGTACACCTTGCAAAACCCAAGTCAACTTTATTAAATAAAATGAGTGTAGTTAACTCAATTTACTGAAAGCTGATTCTACTCATTTGAAAAGAGTTTTGAACTTAGTGTTGAAGGTAATGAGTTAAATACCTCATTACGTCAACTTGAATGGAGTAAGCTCACAGTACTCGTATAGATCAGGTTTTTAACTCAATTGGTTTGCTGTAATCGGTTTCCTCAAACAGTTTGAGTTGCTTTAACTTTTTGGGTTTTACAGTACTCAGTTGGTTTAAGTTCTCTTCATTTATCGGGTTTTACTGTGCTCAAATTGCTTCATTTGCTTAAATGGATTATGTTCACAGAACTCATAAGGATTCGTTTTTGAACTTTAATGGTTTTGAGTTACATAAACTTTTTGGGTTTTATTCAAATGACATTATAGTCTGTGTTGGGGTAACGCATTACAAATACGGGGAGTTACGTAATACTATTACTTTTCTAAGTAACAAGTAAAGTAATGCATTCAAATAAACAAGTAATAATATTTGAGTTACTTTTGTAAAATGTAACTAAAGTTACTTTTTGGTTAAATATTTTTTTTTTGTCAATTGCTAAATTTAAGTTGAGATCAGAGAATGTGTTCGTTATTTTGAACACATGGAGGAAAACAAATTTTGCTTTAAAATGGTTTGTATTTCACTAATACCACAAAAAGTACAAAAGGAGTAAACACACTGCTTTAAACTGTCATTAATCTGTATATAGAGCTCAGGACGTTCTTAGAAGAAAGGGATCAAGCCTCAAACAACGCAAAAGTAACGTAACGCATTGCTTACCATAAAAAGGTACGCAAAAAGGTAATTTTAGGAGAGTAACTCAATACTGTAATGCCTTCCTTTCAAAAGTAACTTTCCCCAACACTAGTCAGATGAAATCATGATTTCTACATGAAGTGGTTTCAGAGTTTGTTTTGGGAATGCCTTCTATTTCCATTGTTTGTTTGGAGGCAGCATTAATGTTTCTTTAATCTTATTTAATTAATTTAAAACTTTTAATTGACTTGAGTTTAGATTTTTATTTTTAGTTCAAGCTTGAGTAAACCAAAATATTTTAATGAATAATTTTGACACTTTTTGTTGATGTTTTTATGAATTCTTAAAATAATATTCTGGGTTCTAGTGTTATTTTAATATTATATATTGATTTTATGCTAGATTATATTTGTTTTAGTAATTTTAGTTCTTAAAATGACATTCTGAAAAGCTGAATTACGTGTTTCATTTTATATTTCTATTTGAAAAAAATTATTTACCAAATTTTAATTATATCATATTAAATTTAAATTTTTATTTAATATTTAAATTGAAAGATCTTATGATTTTTTTATATATATATACTTTTAATTGTATTATTCTGAAGCTCAATATGATGTTAAATTAATATTTATTATTTATTTCTTGTATAATTATTATGTAATATAATTATTATATAATACATCTATATTATATTTTCTTTACATTCAAAGTCAAATAGCTTGTAAAAAATGGCAGCATCTAAACTTTTCTGATCTACTTTAGTGTTTTTTAAAGTTTTACAAAGACTGCTGTTCAATAGTTTTAGAAAAATTTGATGAAAGATGTTGATCCACCTCAAGTATTGACTACTGCATATATTGCAATATATCTAAATTCTCAAAAACAAAAAGTCTTGTACATTGTCTAGTCAGCCCCACCTCTCACACCCATTTCTTACTCACAGGTGATGCACAACCTGTGACGTGTTGGTAAACACACACACATCAAGCTTTACTCACATTCCTCAGCTGCGCCTACGTTGGCGTGTGCACATATCTAACTTATTAGCCTTCCCAAAGCAGTGTGTCCTGTCTGGATTTTCAGCCTGTAATCAGCTGTGTTGCTGAGCCTCAGGAATGACTTATTGCTCCTTGTGAGTAAATATGGTTGGGTTGGTTACTCGTGTCGTGACTAACTATTTGTGGCTATCAAGTAACACAGTTGAACACCTGATAGTGGGATATAGGGCGCGGCGTACAGGACGAACTTCAGCCTGTGCTGACGAGGCTGTGACGTAAATGGTGTGTGTCAGTAAAACGCAGAGGGTTCAATTATGTCATGGAACTGAAACCAGATGTTTTAAAGGAAAAATGGATACATTTTATAGCAATTATTCCCAAGTTTGTTAGTTTGCGCTTATTCTCTAATGTATAGATCGAGTTTTGACATTTTTTTATTTTTTAATCTTTGATTTTCTTTGAGTTTACAAAATACTATTAGTTGCAATGTTATTTTAATGCCTTCATTATATTATATTGTGATTTATTTATTTTTTATATTTTGAATTTTAACCAAATTTTTGTCATGTTGTGTGTGTTATTAAAGGGATGGTTCAAAACTGAAAAATATGTTTAAACATTAATGCTAATTTCTGGGATGGAAGTCAATGAATCCAAAAACAAGCATTTTTCACAATATTTTTTGTTTCTGAAAAACGAAACTTAGATTTCAGACGAGATTAAATGTGATTTTTTTTTCATTTTTTAGGTGAACTATCCCTTTAAGAGGTTTTTAATATTTTAATTTATACACATTTTTAAATTTTCAGATTGCCATTAAAGTAGCCGTCTCGTTTTTTTTTTTTTTTTTAATCTGAAAAACCTAAAATGTTTACCTGAAATTGTTTTTTTTTTATATATAGTTTTAGTGACACTAACAAAGCTGCAAGTTTCTACTGCCGCAGAAAATCATTTCGACTTGGACATGAACATCCATTGCGAACATGCACGCTTGTAGCTTTCACAAACTGAATAACGTGTCGAAATAATTTTCTGTGGTTTTCAAGCTTGACTAAAGCCATCTGTATGCGGTTAACCCAGATTATTTCTACCCTTTCCTCTTCTATAGACTGTATGAGTGCACTAACGCCTGCATCTTTCCACAGGTGATCCGTTTACCTCTCGCTCTCGTCCCACACGCCCTCAGGAATGGTGGGCAGCTCAGGTATGCTGCAGTAGCTGCTGTGCAGATTCTGTGCTGTTCTTCGAGAGACGATCCACACCAGTTTCTTGTGGTCCGGTTTGGCACATTCTGGAGAGGAGTAATCTCTAATACACTGCCCTACCAGGCCTCGCCAGCGTCCCAGGTCAGCCTTTGAGATCTGCAAACAGACACCGCTGCATTAGACACCAACTTACATAAGTACAGGGCACAGCGCCAGCATCATTTTGGATGGGACTGACGAGTGTAAACCAATAGTGTGCTGGCGTCTGGACACTTCAAGTGCTTTAGATTCTTCTTACGCCATTGATGTAAGTGCTGTTCAAACCAAATATATATATATATTTTTGATCAATTGATTGTTTTGAAAGTGGTTTGATTAAAATAGTTGTTCTACTTGGAGCCAAACTTATTTTTCAGTTTTTGGGAAGGTGCAATTGTGAAACTCGTGGGAGTTAAAAGAATGACCTACTTATGAGTTTTTACCTTCAAGTGTGTCTGTATGCGGTGTGCGATTTCTAGCAGGTCCGCAGACTGTAAGGCCTCGATCTCAAGCATCAACAGCGACAAGGCGAGCACCGATGGCTAAAAAAGAAAAACAACCACAATTTAAACTTGTCATGTATCTTGACCTATCCAGTCTATTTGTTTAAGCTCTGCTTACTTTTGCTTTGGAGAAAACAATTCTGCATAGGCAGGCTTTCAGCTGGGCTTCCAGTTTGTCAAGATTCAGGACGTCTTTTCTGCAGGGGTGAAAAGATTTGAGATTGTATTTAGTTTGAGAGAGATTGTCAGCTGAACTGTTTGTCATTTAGCAAGCTGTCGTGTCTAGTCAGAAGATAATCTCCTAGTTCATGACGCCGGCCTTAACTGTGACCCATATACTGTGAAACGCTCAAAGTGCACTTGGCAGATTCGGTTTATCAACCTTCACAAGACAAAGTTTCCTATGCTGAACTGTTAGTTTATCTGGTATTTACAGTTAGTTTTATAATGATAGCTATTCTTACCTGTTGGACGTGTGTGAAAGTGCAATGGCGTGGTACAAATGCAGGAAGGTTAAGGCTGTGACGGCTTTGAACTGGAAGTTGAGTTTTTCTGAAATGATCTTCTCCATTCGGCTGAGGTCTGAGACGGTGAACTTGCACTGGCTGATGCGAATGAGCTCATGGCTGGACGAAACATTGCACTCGCCTTCAGTCACTCGCACGGCGATATGGAGGCAGCCAATGCTGATGCAGGCCAGATATTTGGGCTGAACCTGTATTTGAAAAACACAGAACAATTAGTTTTAACAGCCGAAATGTCATTTCACTCATTTCAATTTGTACACACCACAGAGTTTAACAAAAAAACTGAAAATTGCATGCATTTTGGCTGTCTATGTACACTAACTTTTGAGGGAAACCATTAAATGGGTTACAAAAATTGTGACATCATGCATGTGCATTTAATTGACAATCAAAACAACACTGGTGACTACAGGACTGTATGTGCTCAGGTGCGTAGTGTTTCTTTTCAAGGTAACATTGCTATCTACTGGCCTGGCATGGACAATACAGCAATTGAGCTTGTTTTGTTTATCTATGTATGTGAATCTTAAAGGAATAGTTCACCCAAAAATGAAGTCTGTCATCATTTACTTAAGCTTCACTTGTTTAAAACCTATTTGACTTTTTCGTCTGTTAAACAGAATTTAAGTTATTTTTTTAAGAAAGCTGGAAAACACTCGAGGGAGAGTAAATAGTGAGTACATTTTCATTTTTGGGTGAACTATCCCTTAATGCAATTCAAACTCAGATGGTTTGATTTAAAATTAACTGTTTACCTTCATCATAGCTAGAAACCTGTCCAGCAGGTTGACGGCTAGTACAAAGGTCTGAGTGCTGTAACCGAAGAAATTGGTCAAGCTCCAGAGATCCTCAACTCGAGCATCTCTGCATTTTGCTGAAACTCCGTTACTGTTCTGTGTGGATGAAGAGAAATAACATTTCATGTTTAAACTTTTATTTTTTCAGTTGCATGTTTCGTCAATTGTACATTTGTATATAAATGTAAAGCTAATATAAAGTTGTTTTTTTACATTGTTTGAAGCAGTTTTAACATGTATTTATTTACATTAAGTTTTAATAAAGTTTATACGTGTATTTTAATCTACAGAAGTTAGTGAGACTTGTTTACCTCTTGGGTGGACTCGATCAACCGGAGACCCGTTTCTTTCGGTAGATATTGAACCTCCAGATCCAAATTGCTCTTTAGCTCCTTCATCAGTTTGAAGGCCTCCATTTTTACTGTTTGTTTGTGTTTCAAGTCTTCAAAACACCTTAAAAAGGCATAAAAAAACAAAGTGAGTACATTCAGCTCACCCTGGGCGGTGGGTCAAGGTTTTGCCCAGCCCCCTCCGCTCAGCTGAGCCTCGGTGTCGGGTTGCTCTGGTTAACGCCTTCTTACAGCGGATCCAAACAAATAAATCCGTCAAATTCCGACTGAGATGACCAAATACATGTAGACTTTTTGACTTAAAACGCTTTTACTGAAAAAAAAGGTCAAAACGGGATCGAAAGTGAATGTCATCCAGCGGAGCTCAGTTGATCCTTCAGCTGGAAAATATCTCAACCAGAGGGGGAGGGGTTTAAATCTTTACACTGCTGTACAGTTTATGTTTGTAACCTCGTATAACATACGATTAATCTGTTGATTACACTGTAATATATTAGTAAAATGTTACAGGTTATGATTTATCTATATATTTTGAAATGTATTCAGAGATTGACTTCAAATTAGACCAATATTGGCTTAGGAAGTAAACATCAAATACAAGGAAAACATAAGACGGAATTCGGTCAGTACAGTACAATAAATCTATGATCTTCATTTAATTAATAACACACACGAATGTGATCGATAAAATAGCATTGACCGTGCATGTTAATAACGTTACCGTTTACTCAATCGAAATCTAACGTTAATCCACAGCCAAACAAAATCCAACCCGTTTTCAGAATTAAGGAAAAACAAGCTGAACATATTAACAGACAATTCATCTAGATGTACGTTTAAAAATGTAAACAAACATGTAAGCAGAGATTATAAATGAAAAGTAAAAGTACATTACCAGAAATGTTAAAAGGACATATTGTGTTTGTGTATCCGAGTCTTTCGTCTGTGTTTTCTCTGCTTCTCCTTCCTTTTGTTGATGTTGAATGTAGCTCCGCCCCCTTGGCCTGTCACGTATGAAACGTAAGTCTCTGTGTTTATCAACATTTATGCATTTTAGGACGTATATTAGTATCGTTTCTGTATTTAAACGCGTGTATTTGTGTTATTTCATCATCTTAGATTAAATGATTTAGGTATTTCGCGTCTTGCTGCATTCAGACATTGTTTTAAAGCGCTGTGGGTCTTAAGATATTGACAGCCCAACTGACCAATAGAATCGCTCGAAGATGTAGCGTTCAAATAGTCCGCCCAAAATTCTTCATGCTTATTGGCTCCTGCGTTCCATGTAGACGACGGCTATTGGTTAGCGAATCGACTGGTTTTCTTGTGGTACGATTGGTTGTTGCTGGGTTTTGTTTTGACAGGGTTGCCAGGGGGTAGAAGAAAATGTACAAATGCATTCCTCTCAGATGTTCATTTTGCGATAACATTACATTTCCCCCCTCCCTCCAAGTAATATTATTTATTTTAAGTGTTCAATAAACGAGTGAACAAGCTGAACATTAATTATTATACTTTCTTTATTATTTATATATAGTTCATTATTATGTTATAGCTTATTTCGTTAGTAATAAATTCTGATTCATTTGGGGGTAATTAATCTGCTTATAAAAGACAAGAATAGTATTTTAATTCAAAGATATGACTATCAGGTAAATCGGCTTTAATAAAATAAATTAACAATACAGTATAAAATTTCTAAACCTCTGATATAAATAAACACTTAATATACACATATAATATTTCTTATATAAAATGCATATTTATTATCGAAAATATTATTCTTAATCGAACTTTTAATCCATTTATCCATCCATTATCTCATATTTCTGTGTCATCCTGAGGCTCTCAATATGATTGTATATGAAAGTAGTTCGTACAGTACGATCTACATTCCGAAACACATCCGCTAGAGAAAGTAGTCCTCTTGTGGCACAGTTACCAAATTATCAATATTTTCCGTTAATTACAAAACCTCAAAATGTATCTACATTTAAAATTTACACTGTTAAGTATCATTATCCGTTAGCAATTTTTCACAAATACTTAATATTCGTAAGAAAACGTTTTCGTTCTCAGTGGTTGAAGAGGTAGGCGGAGGGTTCTCCTTCCCTTCTCAGTCTCCTCCTCGGAAGTAGACGTCCGTGTCTATATTCCGTTCATTTTATTTTTAATATCAGTTTGGAAGGATCCCTTTTAATTTTTTAAATACCCCCACTAAATTTCACGGCAAACATTGAGGCGAAGCTGGACGCTTAAAAAGATGACGGAATTCGATCTGCTCCTTTATTTTACCTCAGTTTAATGGACCGGATGATCTGCGTTTCCCACAACCTTGCAGGGGAGGTAAGAATCTAACCATTTCAGAAAGCTTTTACAAACACTTTAAAGCATTTAGTCTCGTTTAACCAACGACAACATGTATAAACATACACATACGTACTATTCTGGGATTTCTGGTGTAGGCTAAGGTGTGTAAAATCACACTAATGTTGATCTATTGCTGTGTAGCTTGTCAGCTAACATGAATGTAATGCAAACTGCGTCAACACTGTGGTAACGTCACATCAAGCCGGTAAAATGGGTTTGGTCGTTTTAAAGTCGTTGTTTTTAATAAACGAGTTATGTTTTGCTTATATACACCAGATATGCTATATATACAACATGAATTGGATGCTGAATCACTTCAGTGTTTAAATGACAGATGATCCCACATAACAGAGAGGGTTTTATTTTTAAACAGTATGGATAACACTGTTGAATAAAAATGTTAATTTTATTTGTTTATTTATATTTATTAAGTTTATTTAATAATTTTAGTAAATTATAATTCAAAAACGTTAACAAAATAATAGTGAAAGTGCAATTACATATAATAAGTTCGATAAAAATACTACCAATAAGCAATTTATATTAAATGTTTAACCTAATGCTTTTTGATTCAACAATTAACATTAAATCATGAATACTTTAAGTATTTGTCATTATAGTAATAGCAATAGCTAGGACAGTGTATGTACAAACTATTAAAAGGCATTGATTGTTAAAATATTGTACATACTAATATTCAACACTGATTTGCCCTACATTGTTTTTGAATTAAAATAGCTTAAATAACTCAATGAGTCAGCTCAATCATCCCTTTTAATCTATGACAGATTATGTTTCATTATATATTTGGTGATTCATATATATGTATTATCTGTTTTTTTCCTTCTCAGGTAGCTGTATCCAGTGGGGAGGTAGGCTTTTCCAGGGTTTGTGATGAAGTTCACCAAACCCCTGGAAAGCCGGAAACTGTCATCTCTTCTAGAGAAGGCAGTTTCTAGGGAAGCCAAACTATGGAAGGTTTACGTGCCAAAGAAACCTACCAACCAGGTCAGTCAGCTGATATCTCTGGTTTGTTGGGTATATCTTCACAGTATTTACATTGTGGGAGGCAGATAGTTATGCAAAAAATTTACTTTGTTTCATGAATGGTTATGCTATGTATCATCATCATTATTAACATTTGAAGGCCTGAATATTAGATGCGGGTCCATATACTTATAAACAGAGAATCACTGAGATTGTTTTAGTTTTGTGAGGCTATTTTATCTCCATATAGTGATGTTTGTTGATTGTGTTTGTATATCACACACACTGTATATGTGACACTTCTGTGTCAGAGGTCTGCTTTACACACACACCCATCCAATTTATTGTGGAAAATATTATAACTCAATAATGTGTGTTGTTTTAGTATATTTAATATAAATCATCATAGTTTTAATAGGTTTCTAGTTGGATTACAAAAGGTTTTTGTTGTTTTCTTTTTTCATATGTGGTTTATTATAAAATTCAGTGAAATTAGTTTATAGAGTGCCAACAAGTGTCAGGTATTTTACATCAAGCATCATTTGATGACATTATTTGAGGATTTCAGTGTAGCCACAGAGTTCTATATATAATTCTCATTTGAAATCATTGTACCTTTGCACGTTTTCAAACTACTAAGACTTAACAGTTTGTCTTTTTTTTTTTTTTTTGTATATTTTTTAAATATTATTAAATTGTGATCACTTATTCTTTATCTTTTAATTTGTGCAGGTCAACATAAGTATGTCATTTAAAATTTTTGCATAAATATATCTGTTGCATTAAATAATTTGCACCAATATTTGGACATCTTGTATTTTAAATGTTTTTGAAAATAAATTAATTAAGTAGTGCTGTCAAAAGATTATTTGCATCCAAAATAAAAGCTATAAGGGAGAGAGATGGATGGATAGATAGATAGATAGATAGATAGATAGATAGATAGATAGATAGATAGATAGATAGAAATATGCATACATTTGAGAAAACGTTTTTGTTTATTTATTTATCAATTTAAATCTTTATACCTAATAATAAATTATCTATAATATACATGCAAATATTTAGGTTCTGTTATTTGTGTTATATACACACAATATTTATACACAATATAGTGCACATACATATTAAGTAAATAAAACTTTTATTTTGTATCTGATAATCTATTAAAAACGATTTCTTTGTAGTAGGTTGTATAAATAATTTAAGCTTTAGCCATTTTAAATGAAAACCTTTCCTTGTAAACTAGCTTAATTAAAAATAGCTTTTTGTGTGTTATTTCAAGTAACAAAGAATTTTATTTATTTATTTATTTTTTATAACTTAGTTTTTATTGATTTTTTAGAAACATATAACCAGTGGGAACAAAATACACATATAAATAAATATACATATGTATACATACTTGTATAGGCAAATACATCCATTCCACACATGTATATCCATATACACACATGCATAAAAATAATAAATTAACCTCATCAAAATAAACAAATAAATAAGTATAAAATAAATTATAATAAAAGGTTGGCAAACATATTTTCACAATGATACATAACCTCTAGAATTATGTAAATGTTTAGTTATATATATTTATATTGTAACAAAGAATATTTTTCAATTGTTTTAATTGTAGTTAGCTGTTATAACCTTTTGCATATTTCAGATTGCATTTCAAGTCATTAATAAAACATTTATTACTGTTTTGATTAAATATCTGTGCATGTAAATCTACTCCATTTGCTCAAATTGGATCATTTCAGATGTAGGCCTGTTTTGTGTCTCATCAAATGTGTTGCACCTCATCAGGATACAGATATTTCCCCTGAAAAGCGTGATGAGGCCGTCCGCTGGTTGAGAGATGTGCATTCCCAGCTCAAGCTCTATCCAGAGACCCTGTGCCTGGCCATCGGCATCCTGGATCGCTTCCTCTCCACCATAAAGGTAATGTTTAAAACCGTCAGACTGGTCAAGGTCTTCCGTCCGAGTCAATGATTGTGGTTTTATGGCATTTTGTATAATCCAGCTGTCCTTAACAGGTTATAGCCGGGCATTGACTGGCTTGATTGCAGCACATGATAGGCTCTACATAATAACATTTCTTTTTAAAATTATCAATTTGTATAATAATTTAGCTTTTGGACATCTTATGATAAATTGGATACAATATTTAGAATTCGGTTGCTTTGGATAACAGCACTTAATAATAAATGCATGAATTAATCGGGTGTTAGATTTATGAATTTTATGTTTTATGAATGATAATTTATGCATTGTGCATTTCATGTATGCAAATTTATGTACTGTATATAGCTCATTTCATTCACTATGATAATTCAAAATGATTTATATACATACGAGCAGTGTTGGGGAAAGTTAATTTTGAATGGAATGCACTACAATATTGAGTTACTCCCCCAAAAAGTAAGTAGTTGTGTTACTCGGTTACTTTTCATGGTAAGTAATGCATTGCAGTACTTTTAGTTACTTTTGCTTTACTTTTTCTGATCTGGCTGAGGCTGGATCTCTTACAGAACATGCAGGGTTTTTTACTTCTTTTTTTAAT